GCACAAACCCCTTAAACTAGCCCATCGTAAATGTTAGCTCTTTATAATATAACCGATCCTAGCCTATCCACCTAACGTCACCCGGCGTGGTGCTATTATAATGGATCTTTAACCTATATATACGTAAATCTAAAATCCACTACATTAGGCTGTCGGTGCCGCGTACTATAAATTTATCGACCATTAAAACAACCTATTTCCGGAATGATCGTCTCGGGCCGGGTTAGCTGAATTAGATTAATATGGTTTGGCTAGGTGGTAGGGACCCGGCACCTACGGATATATATCCCTCGTCGTCTATCGCACTCTCGCCCTCCTACGTGCCGTTCGCGTAAAATCTTTATCATTTCGCCCGCCTAGAGGTCTAGTCGAATAGCTTTATACACTATTATAAATCGGGCGATTTTGATCACCTAGGATAAAATAGGTGGGTAACTATCGGCGTCGCGCTAACCGGCTTCACTACGGCCCTATACCGCTAGTGCGCAAATTAACGCACACTCGTAATCCTCGACCCGGGTGCGCTAGTTTAATAGTTCTATATAACAATCCAAATATACCGCGTCGATAGCGGTCAATTAGAACTAGGCCCGATTCTTAGGTGTATCGCGGTCGGGGTTACCGAACTAGTAAAACTCGTCCTCGCTAGCCTAGCTAGGTATAGGGCTCGTACCCCGCGAACTACCGTCGGAACTTCGGGCGGGGGAACGGCGGGTAGGCGAACTAGGTCGGCTAGACTAGGTAGCGGCCTACGTGGCGTCCTATAATATCTCCTATACACGCTACTATCGCCGGGTGAATGAATACTTTAGACTACTCTAATCGTGCGGGACCTACGTGCGCGCGAAAACTATTAACGCCTACTACTATAGGACGTAATGCTTAACGATAGCCTCCTCCACTATATACGCCTATAGCGGCCTCGTGGGCGTCTTATCGCGCTCGACCCGTATGGCTTCGATCTAGATAGTGTGGCCTACGCGCGCGCTAACTCGCTAGATTATACGGGCCACCGCGGCTATAGAATCCTAAATCGCCGCTATAGCTAATACGTCTGGACTCTAGTCCTCGGGGTCGGGTTATTAGACGCACTAGATTAACTAATCGTGGTCTAAACCGCTCAAATATACGGCCTATTACGTGCGACGTAACTATAGGTTCGCTTCGTCTAGCTAGGTATCTGCGATTGGGGTTAGCTGGTTAATATACTGCTAGTATAGCGCTTCTATCTTATCCAGCTCCGCGTGGACCTAGGACGCCTACTAGACGGGGGGTTTAACTAGTGGATTTGGGGCCGTGCGGCGGCCCTATACGTGGATATAATGCCTGCCGGTGCCGTGGTTAAATGCCTATTAGTATGTCACCGTACGGCTGAATTGCTAGACCTAGTCTTATACGGCTTAACGGGCTACGATACGGGGACGATCTTTCCTACTAGCTGGTGTCCAACCGTATGTCTTACGCTAATGCTGTTTCATAACATCGATACTACGGACCACATAACCACACTCGGGCTCTCGGATGTATAATATACCATCATGATGTATAGTTAGCCCGGGAATGGGACGATTCACCGCTATAGGCACTTCCTAATGTTCGCACTCTTATACTCCGTTCCACTATTGGATATCATACTACAGCTGCCTACCGGTAGGTAATCCTAATCGGTGTTAGGCTCCTTATATATAGCGGCTGATCTCACTAGGTCTAACACCAATCTCGCACTCCTTGCATATAATAATGGGAAATTTGTCCGTTTTGGAAAAAAGTTGGTTTTCTATATTGGGTGTGGATATATATATATAGATATATATATATGGATGTATGTAATGATTAACCGAGTTGGACTGGAAACTAATATGAATGAAGTGGTTTGATTTTTCTCAAATTGAAATGGATAATTGCTGCGACTTCTAGTTAATTACCCCTGAATGTTATGTCAGCCCTGTATTCCTCTAATTGATCCTGGGACTGATCGAATTTGTTAACCCTAATGTTAGGGTTATATGTAGTTGACTGTGGTCGGACCTCCACTTCTATATCCTCACCAAAACATCTACCGATTTTCAATTAAAAATTGCTCCACCAAACCTGGTCAAATGGACTTGAAAATGGAACCATACAAAATCTATTACTGGGAATACAACTCCTACAATTTTAAGTATGATCTGACGCCAAATACAAAAACGAGTGGGGGTGTCAAAATTAAAGCGAGTGGCCGTGGGCCCACTTTTTCTGTCCCATAGTTAACTCCCAGACCCTAATCCGAGTCACGGTGACTCGTCCCACCCCCATGGGGTAGAGTTCCCCCCGTAGTAGCCCCACGAGGAAACAGGATCCCCTCTAGTGAGACTAAAGAGCGGCCGAAGCTAACCGGCGGCGCCTTCGTCTTACGGCACACAGAGCGAGTCAAAACCTCGGAAAGCTTCTAAGACTGAGACTAAGTGATGCCAAGAGTGATTGAAAGATCAGAACTGTAACCAAAAATAATGTCGAATACTAAGATTGAATACATGGTGGAAACAAGGTATAATACCCAGAAAATCATGTGACAACTGGTACCATCCATACCATACAAAAGTGCATATTACAGTTAGTCATCTATGTCCGCCCAGATTGTTGAAAACGCGGGTTTTGTCATTTAGTTAGTTAGAGATTCCAATATATCTGATTTTGTCCATACGTTGTAATACAGCCAGATTTCTGTCAAATAATACTAACGGAATCCGGCCGGAGGCGGGTTTAGTCTCGAGTTGCTCATGTACTGGACGCCTGAAATGGGAAAAGAAGAGAATTTTTGAGGTTTGTGAGGCACGTGATTAAAGCACAAACAAAGGAAATGCGAAGCGCAACGCTCTCTACCTTTGTATGTCTCTTTCTTTGACTGGTTCAATCAATTCCTCAATCTTCTTGAATGCCTAGTCTATATAGACCTGCTGCCAAGCCTTCTGTGGAAAGGCTCCATCGCCATCCCATCCACACGAGCAACTCCTTGACTCATGCTCCACCATCCCTTATCTCACGCCATCCCGTCATCCCGTCCGCATCCCATCGCTATCCCGTCATCCCGTCCGCGTCCCATCGCTATCCCACCTAGTGTTACCGTACCATTCCATGTCGCCATACCTGCAGTATAGCTGCTTGTGATCACATTTGTGGGCGCTCTATCGTCGATCTTCGGATATTTGGGCTGAAACAGCCTCCGGTCGTTTCTGTTCAGCCCATCGCTCGATCTGTCGTCTCCATCACCCGAAGTGATTCCGATGACAACACAGCAATCCCTTTTTCGATGTCACTTTCCCGGGTGTGGCCTAAGCTATCGACGCAAGGAACATCTGACCCGACATGCTAAAAGTCACTTTCAAACAGAGTGTTTCGAATGCTCTTTCTGTGACCGCGTTTTTGCCAGGAATGACACGCTGCGGCAGCATGTCCGCACTAATCATAAAACCAGAGAGCTACAATACTCCCGGGCAATTCAAGCCTGTACCTATTGTCGCTCACGACGGTCAAAATGCGACGGACAGTCTCCCTGCGGCGCGTGCTTCCAGCGAGGAATTCAATGTTCATATACCCAAAACTCACGAGGCCGCGCATTGGAACAAAACAGGTGTCAAAATGGCCACACAAGCCCAATACCTTCCGTAGAACCGGACTGTGCATATTCATTTTATTATCCTGCGACAGAACCAACAGGTCCTATCCAGCGTTCGGAAACTATTGAAAATAGCCCATGCAGAATTGCGCCATATGTCCAGGCTTATTTCGACAAATTTCACCCAAAATGGCCATTCTTGCACCCAGCGACATTCGATCCCGATCATGAGCCACCTTTTCTTGCTCAATCAGTGGTAATGATGGGCTCGTGGGCGATGGTGGAAAGCAATTCGCAACAGACGGCAAAAGACCTACATAAAAGACTGACCTCGTCGATATACGAGCAAAGGGTTAGTTCAGCCCTTTCTTCTATCTCTCCACATTTTTCTTCCTGTTATTAAAGAGCCAGTTAGGACAAATGGGACATATCAAATCAGCATGACGAACCACACTCGCAACATCATGGAATATCCTCATCTGTTCCCACACCCTGGCCAATGGCAACATACCAAGGAATTCTGTTACACCTCATCTTCTCCCTCCTCCTCAACCACGACCGGTCAGATCTGCAATTAACTCAAGTTCTCTACGAGATCCCCTCTCAGCTTCTCGTTGCCCTCGTGCGCAGCTGTTTGAAGCGAAATATGTTCTTCTATCCCTCAATACTGGCCCAATTCAAACCAGGAGTTGACCCTGATGTTTTTATCTGGCTTGGTATCGAGGAAGTCAAGCGTTTTGGCTTGTCCTTGTACAGGGTATGCAGGCAGGCCCGGGTACGCGACACCAAACTCCTGGAAGAGGCGCCCAATTCCAGCCCTCGACGTGGACCACGATCACCGGGTGGAAGTCTTCTTTCTCTGACAGACCTGCAATTTGCGGTGCCGGACAGTGATGAGCTCTGGCATGCTACTTCAGACTTGGCCGCGAAAATCGCAGGAAACCCAGCCGCGTATACCAATGAGAATATTGAAGAGAATTGGATTTCTCAGACTGCGCGACTTTTGCAGCCTCGTGATCAACAGTTTCAGTGGATATGACGATATTTTAATTGCAAGGGCGTTACCGTGTATATACATCTTTCACTCGTAAAACCAAATGTAGGGGCCTTCAATGACAGTGGATATATGTCGTGGTGCCGCCAAAATCCAGGGTAAATTGTAGTGGACAAAATGCCAATACAGTTCCTGTTTCAGAAAATCTTGATTACCACCTAACAATCACTTTTACATTCCAACTCATATCGTGGAAAGGCTACGGTGACCCATCCGCAAAGAAGTAACTTGCATATATTTTGAGGCATCGTTACAGATTTTCCCCCTGTAATAGAAAGGGATTATGAAATATCAAATAGATCAAAGATTTCTCAACAGCATATTTCCCCAATGCTCAACATATGTAGACATCTAAACTAGAGCCACCTCATCCTTGAAATACGCTGTAAATACATTGCCCTGTCTGAGCGGGGCTGCCACCGACTTCAGACGCTTGTGTGCCTCACAGCCAGAATCGTAAAAGTTCATATCATCCAGATTGCGGAAAGTTGTCTTAACGGCTAGCGTGTAGCCATTGTTTCGTAGGTCTGGTAGAGTACGGCCGGCTTGAACAGAGAGGATATAGGGCTCTGAGTTCTATGATTGAGAGAGTGGTTAGAATCCATACAGAGTTACAGGAAGAGGTATCAGGGTAAGCCTAATGTTATGAACGAATGAAGGGATGCAAGCATACCCTTTTTGCCTCCTGGGCGAGGTGACGATATTCAGCCAAGAGAATGTCGATATCCTCTGGCTTGGGGATGTTGAAAAAGGTGGTGCGATGGATGGTCATGGTCAAAATGAATTGCTTTCAAGGTTTCTCTAGGAGGTGGGGGGTGAAGGTAACACTATAAATTGGTTTTGGTGTGAGCAATTAACATAGAGCAATGTGTGCAACTGACATATTTCTCATTGTCAGCCTGCCTCCCTCTGTCTATACTTTGGTTGTAACTGCCGAGGTGTGAGCGTCCGAGATCGGATCTGTCGACTTCAGTGCTTATTCTTGCCGAGTGTAAGCGGCGGTTGCGCCTTGAAGGATTATTTTGCAACTCTGGGATAGCGGCAACCCTAGTGGGATGTCGTGCATTTTTCAGGTACGACGTCCATCGCTATCCCATAGGCATCCCATTATGGCTTCGGGTTTGTTTGCTTGGCAGAAATTAGGATCCGGCATCCCATCGCTATCCCACTGGAATCCCGTTCTGGCCTCTGGTTGGTGGGATGGGCGGTATCCCATCGTGATCCCAGATTGTAAATTCCAGGTCCACTTTCATCCCATCTAGATTATTTACCCATATTTTTAGGCATGGCTTTGGTTTCATAGATCTTTTTGAGGTCAATTAATTTTTCTTATAAAGTGGTACCTTATCCAACAATCTAAAGAACCTCCATATCTCTCGCAATCTTTCTCTACAGCAGAGCAGCATCGATTGAGTCGCATAATTCACGACCAATTGCAATGACTGAACATCTCAAAGGAGACGGTGGTGAGTCGGGGACCCAGCCCGTTCTTGTGGAGGCCCAAACCCCCAGCTCTATCAGGTCCCAGCTCAGTGAGAAGCACGCCGGGTCTTCTGATGAGGAGGAGGAGAAGGAGGAAGTGAGAGCGATCACTGGGTTCAAGGTTCGTTAAATTGATCTGAGTTAGTCTTCTCTTTACTAATATTGAAAAAACCAGTGGATTTTAGTTGTGACTGCTATCTTGTCCAGCCATATGCTCTTCGCTCTCGACAATACCATTGTGGCTAATATTCAACCGGTAAGTACTTTTGCATTATGTTGGCGAGCAAGTAACGCTAACTTATCCTAAACTATCAGGCCATTGTATCGCAATTTAATGAAGCTGATCAGATTTCATGGCTCTCTGTCGGGTATGACTCCTATTATATTTGGGTTGACAGATGGAATATTTCTCATCGATCGATTCTCTCTGCAGATTTACTCTTTGCTCGTCTGCCACGGTGCTTCCTTGGTCCAAGATCTACGCGACTTACAATACTAAATGGCTTTACATCGGGGTGAGTCAATGAGGTCCGGTTATCTCATGCGAGGTGGAACATCTCTGATCATTATTTAGTGCGTCGTCCTGTTTATGGCAGGTTCCGCTCTGTGTGGAGCTGCCCCAAACATGAATTCTATGATTGTCGGCAGAGCAATGGCTGGCGCTGGAGTAAGTCAATGTTGTCTCAATTGGATTCTGCGATCCCAAATACTAACAAAATTCCAGGGAAGTGGAATGTACTTCGGCGTCTTGACGCAATTGTCCGTTAATACGACGGTGTCTGAACGTCCCTTCTATATTGGATTGACGTACGTAACCCGCGCTTTGACTCTATATAGATGCTGATTATCTTCCCTTTTGTACAGTGCTGTCTCGTGGGGTATCGGAACAGTCACTGGTCCAGCCATTGGAGGCGCATTCGCTGAGAGTTCCGCCACTTGGCGTTGGGTGTGTTCTCAGCAATCCTAGCGATACAAAATTATATTTTACTAATCATGGCCAGGCCTTCTACATCAACCTTGTGATTGGTGCAGCCTTCGCTCCGGTGTATCTCCTTCTCCTGCCTTCATTCGAGCCCCTCCCAAATGCCACCTCCAAGGAAAAGGCAATGAATATCGACTGGGTCGGCAGCGTCCTTTTTATTGGTGCCTTAGCAACCTTGATCATGGGCATTGACTTTGGAGGTGTGGAATGGTTATGGGGCAGCGGCCAGTCAATTGCGCTCTTTGTGGTGTCGGGGGTGCTCTTCATCCTGTTTGGGATACAGCAGACCTTCTTCATCTTTTGCAATGAGCAAACCCGACTGTTCCCAATTCACTTCCTCAAGAGACGCTCCCTGTTTCTTTTATTTGTTCTCAACAGTGAGTCAGGCCCCCTACGAATTGCCTTTATGCTTCACTAATTCATATCCTATCCAGCGAGTGCCAGCAGTGGGCTGTTTATTGCGGTTTACTACATCCCATTGTTTTTCCAATTCACACAGGTCAGGATAGCCACTTTGATATTTATTCAGGAGGCATGGGAGCTAACACTATTGTAGGGAGATACGGCGGTCCACACGTCGTTGCGTCTTCTGCCTTTCGTGTTGGTTCTTATCTTCACAATAATTGCCAACGGCCACATGATGTCCAAGTTCGGTTACTATATTCCATGGTACTTCTTCGGTGCCGCTTTTGAGCTTATCGCCGCTGTGTTGATGTGTATGTTGCCTGGAAATCAGCCCTTATCCCCATTGGAAATTCGCGGTGCGCATAGGCTCTATACTAATTGAGACTCAAATTTAGATCGTGTCAAGGCAGACACCTCTGCCAGCGCAATCTACGGATACACGGCTCTGATGGCGTTGGGCGTTGGCGCCTTCAATCAGGCAGGTTACAGTGTGGTGCAGGCAAAGGTCCCGAAAGCTGAGATCCCATGGGCCTTGGGCTTCATGATGGTTTGTAAGTGAACCCCAATTCATCTATTCATTCTTTGCCTTAAATTTGACTAATTTTCAATAAACCAGCCCAACTGGGAGGCATTGTCTTGGCCTTGGGTATGGCGGGTGCTATCTTCGTCAACAAGGCAACCAAGGAACTTCTACAGTTGCTCCCGGATGCCAATCCTACCGATGTCAAGAATTCCATCGCGGGAACGTCTAGTGGATTCTTTAAGACCCTGACGAAGTCGCAGCAGACCGCAGCTCTTGATATTATTGTTTCAGCCATTGATGATGTGTAGGTCTCTCTTCGTTGCTGAACAACCTATTCGTCGGCCGTGCCTAGTGATCCACCTAATTTCTAAATTTTCCCCCTAGATATGTTCTTTTAATCGTTGCCGGTGCGCTCGGTGTTCTCCTCTCGCTCTTCTTGAAGGTGGGTTTTCTCTGCCATGATCTTTCACCATAACTACCACTGACAATTTTCTATCTAGCGTGAGAAATTGTTCATGAAAGTGGCAGCCGGTGGTGCCTAGCCATTTTATTTCGAGGCTCAAGTGAGAGATTTGTTTGCTGCCAGATCCCAAAAATTGCCCGTTCCTGGCGGTGGAGTTTTCCTATGACCATATAGCAACTATATTGTCATGATCCCATCTTAATTCTTAGTTTGTTGATGGTCTTTGAACAATGGTGTTCATAGTTTGCCATGAGAATTATTTTCTTCTTACATATGCGTATAAAATGCCAACTTTCTTTCATGGGTAGATGCAAAAGTATCGTCATCGGATTCGGCTCCTCTCGGAATAGCAATGAATTATCCGGTGGCACATCTTGCGTTCTACCATAAGTCTGTACTCATATTTTGACCTGGTAGCACCCTCTGCAGTGCTTTCTTTGATCCAATCCGGCTCCCATTTATCCTCGAAAATACTCAACTGAACTTCCTGGGTGCGAGTGGTCATTCATACCCACATCCGTGAAGCCTTCTTTGGCCACAGACTTTGGAGTGACCATCAATGAGTGACCTGTAGTAATATTTTCAGTCAATAAAAACCCGTGGCTTGTGACAAATGGAGCTGCATAACATTGATCGTTCTATCATTTGCCAGTTCCACCATGCACATGGCCACATCTGAGTCTGTCGGGACATATGACTCCTCATATGTTGGGGAAGCTTCATCCCCCCTTACCCCTGCATATGCTGGGCAAGTGGCATATACATTTTCCCACTTGCCACCAGGACAGAGAGTAAGATACATTTTTCAATACAATCTACTTTTCGGCTATCAAAGGCAAAACCCTGTTCACTTAATTGTGTACACAGCACCTAGCAAGTGAGACCAACAGAAATCGCTTTTAACTCCAATCTCTCTTCCTTTATCCCCGCGGCCCCACTTCAAGCGCACTAGTCTGTATCAAGGTATCTTCCCACCAGGCGGCCCGCACTTCGATCAGTTGGCCTAAATACCGTAATTTTATCCCCGTACATTTACGTTATTTGATGGAGCCAGAATAATAAATCAGACTTGCGAATTTCCATCAGAGGCTTTCGTTTTCTGACCAATAAATCTGGGGCTTCGCCTGGTTTAGGAGGTCGTTTCTCAAGATCGAAGTGAGGGAAAACAATAATTAGGTCACTGAGCTTAGAATATCCACGTGTGGAGGGGTTGAAGTCTGGGTGTCGATTTATGAGGTGCTCGCCGACCTCAGATAGCCGAGCCCACCCACCATTATCGAGACTCGCCTCTACCGGACTGTTCAGCTGACTATCTGAGATATCATTCTGTCGGGCATCTTGAACTGGAGAATGGGCTTCAGGCACTTCGACCACATTGGAATTCGGGGCAAATTCTGGGAGATACTTGAGGTCTTCAGTATACTTGAATTCATCGCACGCAGCGACGAAGGGCTTAGGCGTCTTGCGCTCCCCAAACCCATATACCTTTAGCCCAGACTCCCTAATCCGGGTGGCTAATCGAGTGAAGTCGCTGTCATTAGAGACGAGGCAGAAGCCATCGAAGCGGCCCGAGTGTAAGAGATCCATCGCATCTACGATCATAGCTGAATCGGTTGCATTTTTGCCGTGGGTGTTGTCACGATCTGCATGTTATCACATGCCAGAGAGATCGTTTGTTTGCTTTATTTCCTTTGTTCTTCGAAGTGCTACTATTCCTAATTGGGAAAGGGGTTTGTTTGCATTGTGGGATAGCTCTGCTATAAGATCCCTGGGATTCACCACTTGCTCTCTCTCCTTCTCCCCATCTTTGCTTTTCTAGTTTGAATGCACTCTTTCTTGTTGATTGACCTGGCACGTAACAGGTGTACGCAAACTGCTGGATGGGCTGAATTGCATTCCTGAGTAGCAATTCTGATCCGGTTTGTGTTTTTCGGATCCACCGTGATAGCGCGACAGCGCTAATGTATGTGGTTTTCTATCGTCCGAATTTCTGTTTTAACTACCGCTCGGATTGGGCCTACGGATATCTTTTCATTCTCGTTGTTTACTATCTTCGAGGTGTCTATCGTGTAATATAACGTGTCGGTAAAGGTAGTCGGTGTTATATTCGATAATAAGAGAGTCCGTATATTACTCGGATACCTAGTTAGGGGAGTGCGGGCGATATCTATATAGGACGGGAATCCTATAACGTATTTCACATGCGAGCTGCGCACACAAGCGAGCTGCGCAGTCCGATACACATACTAAATGCGATAAATTACAACTGGATATCCTAACAATACACGTCTATATGAGCTTTTCCTTATAGCCTAATGCTTATTATACAATATTTTGTCACTTTAGGAAGTTTCAGGAAATTTAAGAACTTGATGATTGAGATATATATATTCAGAGGCTTTAAAGATGTAATTTTTAATACCATAACAATGCACGCTTTCGATCTATTCAAAATTGATATATACTACTTAAAATGCTTATCAATGGCTATCTGCATTTTAAAAAAATAATGAACAAATGTTGGTTGTTGAGATGTGAGTATAGCACATATCGCATTTATTATGGTGTTTCAACTGCGCAGCTCGCTTGTGTGCGCAGCTCGCATGTGAAATACGTTAGCGGGTACTTTGATTACTAAGGCATGTGTAATAGTAATTCAGGTATCTTAATTTTTCTGCCGTTCTAAAACAAGGAATTCAGGCATCAAGCCCCCCCTAAACTGGGTTTTGAACCCTGGCCCTTATACCGCGTCGTAGGTTACGCTTCGGAGCAACAAACTATCCGTTACCAGCCCAGTGGGGCCCACGTCCGCTTCTTAATGAACCCTACTTTCCTCAGGCCCTGTCGACTATGTTTGCCTCGGTAGTATACCCTTGCTTTCAACATGTTTTATTCAGTATACAATTGAGTCGTATAGACACACCCAAAACAAAACAGTTTCGCAGACAGATACGCCATAACTCTAGGCAACAACACGCCCTCATCTTCTAATTTCAACCCAACAATTCCTGCCAGCTAGATTTTGCCTGTCATCTCCAAAAACCAATCATCACAAAGCTATGGCATTGGATTGGCTGCCGTTCTATTTCAAGTTGCTCATCCTGAGGCGACTAACTCGGCTACTTGCTTGGCGGGATCGGAGAAGTCCTGCTTTATCACTCACTCCGAGCTCCCGAGCCTGCATCCCATCGACTCTGTCCACTTCACCTGACAGTTTCTATATTCCTTTCTACCACCCCTCTGGTTACAATCAAGATACTGCGAAGGAAGCGCAGTACCCCATCGTCTTAGTCTTTCACGGGGGAGGCTGGTGTGTAGGACATGCTCGCCATGACGAACGTTTCATTGGGACACTTATAGCGCGCGGTGCTTTCGTTGTAGCAGTCAACTATCGCCTCGCACCCGAAAATCCATATCCTGCTCCTGTGGCAGATTGCCTTGATGCCATACTCTATATCTGGAAAAAGTCTACAGCTATGGGCCTCGACAAGCACCGTATATTCATTACCGGCTTTAGTGTCGGTGGTTAAATGGCGTTTGCTTCGCTATTTATGCTGTGGAAAGCACTAGAGGAGAAAGACCCGCGGATTGATCCTGCGATAGTGGGCACTGTCAAGGGTATCACTGCATTTTACCCACCAATGGATCTGACCAAATCCAGAGATGAGCGTGCTGCCTCCAATCCAGCCTTTGTTGCGCTCAAAAAAAAACCCGCATCGTCTTCCAAGCTCATCGGCGACATTTTCGACCGAGCTTACTTTTGGAATCTGCAAAAAATGCTAGACAAAGGCGAAATGTACATTTCTCCGGGACTGGCTCCTCTTCACCTGATGAAGATGGCTCTACCAACCCGGATTTTTCTGAAACTTGCGGGCTTGGATCCCTTGTTGGTTGAAGGTGAAGCCGCAGCTGCTCGACTGAAGGCTGCAGGGAAGCAGGTTGATTGTGAGACCATTGCGATTAATAAATAAACGCCCACTATTCTCGTAGATATAACTGCCCTTTATCCCTCTCGTGGTCTGACGAGTACTGCTGCTCTGTTTGCAAGCCACCTTTTCCGAATATCCTAACCCAACCGATGCAACATGGGTTCTATTGTGAATAACCAACCGGTTTCTGAGCTCACAGCTTTGGAACGTATCGGCCCCAAGGGCTACCTTCGTTATATCTTCCCGTTCCAGCTCGAAAAGGAGTATGGCTTGGATGAGACCATTCGGGTTCTTCAAGCCGGGTACCAAGCTCTCACACAACGAATCCCAGAGGTCGCGTGCGAAGCCGTTCCCGATGGCAATTCAAAGCAAAGGGGTGTGATGAGACTTCAGAAACAGGCGAATGGCGATGTAGCGTGCATCGTGGTCAAGGACCTACGTGAGTCCTTTCGATCCGATTATACAGAGTTAAAAGATAAATCCTTCCCTGTCGCCTCCTTCGACGCCGATACGTTCTGCCCCCGTTCTGTTTGGCCTTCAGCTGGCGATTGACTGCCAATTTCAGTTGTGCAGGCCAATTTCATCCATGGAGGGTTGATCCTGACGTGGTGCATCTTTCACATGGCGGGTGACGGTACCACATTTTATACTTGGACCAACATATGGGCAGAGGAGTGTCGCCGGGCACAGGGACTGGAGGTCCTAGATCCCATCCAGCTTCCACAGGCCATTTGGCAAGACCGCGCACAGGTGACGAAATCGTCCGGCCATAATGCTGGAAAGCTCGAAAGCCATCCAGAGTATACCCTTCTTCCTTTCACACCCCCGGGAGCCCCGCCAAAGATGACTTCCCTGAGTCATCGTGGTCAAATTTTCTATTTTTCGCCAGAGTCCTTAGCCGCGCTGAAGGCAGAGGCGTCCCCAGCGAATGCGACCGAGCCGACCGATCAAAAATGGATCTCGACCAATGATGCTCTTGCGGCGCTACTCTGGCGTACGGTCATGGCAGTGCAGTCGCCCCTAGAGACATTGGAGGGCGACCCTGTGTCTTTTTCAACATTGCCATTGACGGGCGGCAACGGACAGATCCCAAGCTGCATCCAGCGACTTTGGGATGTTTCCTAGCGTATGTCTCAGTCTCGGTGCCTATTCGCAAAATGCTTAGTGCCATGAGTTTGGCCGATCTAGCGACGGAGATCCGCAAGGCGATTCTGCGGGCCGATGAGCAGTTCACGGATGACGTGGTAGCTCTTGTAGAGCAGCTTGAAGACGTCGATCGACTGGTACCTACCGCTTTTCTGGATGTTCCCGGCTTCAACTGCGTGCTAACCTCATGGGTGAACTTCAAACTGTACGGATTGGAGTGGGGACCACTGCTGGGCAACAATATTGAAGCTGTACGGGTGCCCCATGTTGGTTGCATCAACGGCGGTCAAGTTGTGCTCCCAGTTTTGCCGAATGGTGGCATGGAGATTCTAGTCGGCGTAGAAGAAAGTTGCTTGGGCCGACTGTTGGATGACCCCTTGTTCACAAAATATGGCGTCGCTCGGTAGAGCCTTCATGAATGCGAATAATAATTTGGTAGAATTATATAACTAGTATATCACACGATATCCCCATGATCATATCGTTTACCCACTACTTGCTTTATTTTGTTGTTTTCCACAATCAAATTTGAAGAGCCAAGCAATTTACTCCAAAATTGCCCTGATATTTGGGATTATGCCGCAGTTTGTTGCTCGACGGGTTTTCGAAAGTACAGCGAATGCGATAAGGATCATCCTGGTAATTATCGATATTCTCATCACCATAGTTCTTTGTATAGGCATTTAATGTGGTTTATTCTTGCCCTCGGCTCGAGATTCCGTGTATCGAGGTAGAGTTCGGATGGTGATTTGGTCTTTGGTGATAACGACTAGGAGAGGGTTTCTAAGTGTCGCTGCGAGCTCGTTAACGATAATGGATGGGATACACTACTCACGTCAAGTAAATAACAATGCGCTTTATACACGAATGTCATATTATCGACAAGACGAAGTCAGTCCTGTCCAAGGGAAGCCAAGGCACCTCTCCAGATGCTTCAGCTTCCGCGTAGTAAGACGGGTGTGCTAAAAAGTGGGCACATTGGTGAAATGAATGGTTACGATAAGCAAGGAAATTGTGCTTTTTCCATAAAAGAATCATTTTGAAGAAATGGTTTTTGGTCTAGAGGGATCGACAAAGAAAAAAGAAGAAACTAATTAGGGGCAAACAGATTGTTTCAACCTGAGGCATCAATCTTATAGGTAGGAAAAGAAAAAAAAAGGAGAAAGAGAAGTACAACAGTTTTGAGGGCAAAAATAATCATCTAGATTCTAGTAGAGTCGTGTTAGCTTGCTTTTTCGTATCTGAGCATTGGTGTCGGTGACGATCTCCTCATTAGGTAGGTCTTTGGATACGCCAGCTACCGAAGGGTTGTCTGACCACATTTGCCTAGGGTCCCATGAGAGACGCATTGCAAAGCCACCACACCGGCGACCCTGATCGAGACATGTTGAACATCGTGGTCGATGCTGGTCGCACTTTTCGCCCAAAGAAACACAAGTATGACAATCTGTTTGGGCAAATCTAAGTGAATTTGTTCTCTTGCCTTGATCAGAAATCATCACGTCATATGCTGAAAGATAGTCCGTTTCTTTCTTTTTTTTTGGTGTACTGTTTGTTGTAGAGGAGTCAAAGTCGCGCTCTCCTGCTGAATTAGGAAATTAATCTGAGCAGCTGACATTTCCGCGGAATTGACCGCAGAACTTTTGTCATCTTTCTCTCTCTCTCTCTATGTCTCTCTCTCTTCAGGCTACATTTAGACTAATATTTATTGACAATTTACGCCTTTTGGCCCTCATTTTTGGCCCTCACGACGGGCTATCTCTTATCTCCCATAGTTCCCCGAGCTGCCCAGAGGCCCCGGGGTGTATATTATGTTAGACATGTCGGTCATCCCATCGATACCTCCATTTATTTGCAGATTGCGCTTGTCTTTGTTTGACAGCCTTTGTTTGTCAGGGTATAAATCCCCTCCTTTAGATAGATTGAATAGATCATGATTCCTCTTCTTTTCTCTCCCCATTGCTAGCTTGTAGTCTCAATATATTAGTCACAATAGATCTCGAGCTCATTCAATGAAGGAGTTAATTCATGTTTGGTGTAATGGAAAATTTTTAATACAAAATTTAATACAAAATGAATCCCGAAATTGGTTGCTGGTAGGGACTAAGGTGTCATACAAGCTTTCTAGGTCAAGATCGCCAGCGCTTTCACAATAGAAGCTAGGGGATCACTGCCAGCCACTGTCATCATGAGATTGCCAATGTAATTAATGAAACCAATTTTCTGAAGCAACTACAATCAAGGCCACAGTCAGTTTAACTGTACTCTCTGGGTATACAATCATTTCTGCTTGCCTTTTTCCATCGTATTGAGCGCCTACCTCACTCACAGACTGGATTCGTTCGGCATCTCTGTCGCAGCAAAATAGCCATTCTTTCCCTTCCGCAATACCCAGGTAGAGTCCAGAACGAGGACTCTCCTGTCGAGTTCTGTCCGTTTCTTTTGTGTCTATCTGTGGATACAGTAGGTTTCTATATTTCGGTTGCTGTGCTTGAAATATCATGCTTCTATATGAAGTCTCTAATACACCTGGTTATTCAAATCTATTGATAGTCCCGTCCCGGTAACGTGGGAAAAGGGTTTGCCTTGGAATGAATTGAAAGCTCGCGTTACAGATGTCCATAGACAATGATACATCGTAGTCTCTATCTTTGATTTGCTGTTCCATATCGGACGCCTTGAGGGTATTATGGTCGATGCTGAGACTCTTCGAAGTTGAATATTGAGGTATCTGGGGACAAGGATGTTTAGTGCATCATATGCCCTCATTTACATCGTAGACATCAAGCCAGCTTTGGGAGCCCTGGAGGATGCCTAGACAGACTGGATTATGTACGTCTTTTGGATGAATACCTAGCTGGCTGCGATACAACCTCTTTCTTCCATATCTTTTATGACGATATATCATTCTCAAGGGCTAACTTCAGTTTCCTCAATGATGGTGGAAAATTTGCTAAGGACTTGCTTCAACGCAGGCCTTCGAATAGGTTTACTGCTTTCGTTAGTGGCAGATCAAGGTCAAGTTTCTTGTTAGCTCCAACTGACCTCATGAACATATCCATCCCGCAATCCATGCAGTCCTTGATGTTGCTTTCTTCTGCAAAGGCACTTAACGCGACAATGGGTGCAGAGTACCCCATCTGCCGTATAAGTCGGGTGCTCTCGAGACCATCGAGGATCGGCATCTGCATTAATTAGCATTTTCATGACTGTGCGAAAACAAGCTTCTTACTTGGATGTCCATAAAGATTAAGTCAAACACATCTCCCTTCTCCATATTTGATTTGACAGTGTCATATGCCTCCTGGCCGTCTTTAACAATTGTCACATCATAGACCTCCTCCAGCGCAAGCATCCTAGCATCCAAGTCAATATTTGAAATATCTCACGGAGAATTTCATTAGCACGTACCGTCGAACTACTTCCTGATTGACAGTGTTATCTTCGGCAACTAACACACGTATTCGTTTCGAGCCATCGCCCTTGTCGGATGAGCTTTTATTGGATGGCAAATTGCTGGGTGCTGATGTAGGAGACGATGGGACAGTGGGTGTGAAAAACGGTTGACTGAATCCGACCAAACGTGGTTGAATTTCTGACTTTTCAAATCTAGGCGCCAGGGGTTCGTTCCTCACTGATCCATGATTCGAGGGTGTCCGTACGGCGTTAGAAAAGTCTTCCAAGGACAGGACACTTGGGGTTCGCGATCCTGGGATGCTTGAAGCATGTGTGCTTGGTGCCAATTCTTTGACATACCCCAAAGGGATTCTCAAAGTAAAAAGAGAACCTTTCCCTTCTTCACTCTCTAGCAAAATGTCACCTCCCATAATACGGGATAACTGAGCACATATGCTGAGACCCAAACCAGTTCCCCCGTATTTCCGATTCAATCCTAGGTCACCTTGAACGAAAGGATCAAAGATCCGCCGGTGGAGATGGCCAGGAATACCTGGCCCGTTATCTTGGACTTCGAATTGAAATTTCAGCTGGCGAAGATTGGACTGTGACACTCTTTGTCCTTTGGTTTGACCATCGGCCACATCCGTGGCGCCATGAATCGACGAGTTGGTACTAGAGCCAGTCTGGGACCGTATTCGTGAGTTGCGTCGAGGCGTGTCTTTCGGAGCCATATGAGTTTCCAGTCCCAAAGGTTCATTCACAAGGCGGATGCGAACTTCTACTTTGCCATTCTCGGGTGTAAATTTGAGACTGTTGCTGACCAAATTGATCAGTACCTGGAGGATTCGATGTTGATCACCCCAGAGGACCATGTCTGCCAGTCTGCCAGGCTGTGTTGGACTGAAACTTGTATAGGTCTGTTCCAATCCGTGTTCGTGGCATATAGTGCCTTTTGGCTCGGTCACTCCACCAGGAGCAAAGTTGACGCTGAAGTCAATCTGCTTTTCATGAACTTGATTTTGGAAGATGATAGCCAGTTGCGATCTAACATCAGACAACTTGAATTCTTTTTCCTCGATCTGGATAGCCCGGTCAATTTGATTCTTACTGAATGTGAGCAAATCGTTCAAGAGGTGCAAAAGAAGATCGCCTGACTGATAGACCACCTGAAGCGACTTTTTGATCCGAGACAGGTCCTCCTCGCCCATACACACGGCACACATGCCGAGGATTCCATTCAGGGGAGTTTTGAGCTCATGAGATATGTTGGCGATAAACAATGTCTTGCTCTCGTTGGCGGTCTCGGCGGCCAATTTCGCCTTTTCAAGCTCTCTGGTGCGCTCAGCCACTCGCTCTTCTAGCCGATTGTACTGAATTGTGAGCTCGTCCGACATCTCGTTGTAAGTTTTAGTCAACTCCGTGAGCTCATCCGTGACACAATGTCTTCTTTCTTTGACCCTGGCCGGTATCTGAAAGCCTCGGGGATTCTTTGGATTGCCGATGTTCGTGGAACTGTTGAATCGCCCCAAGGGACGTCGTAGGCGTTTCACCCACATGCCAGGCGAGCTTTTCTCATTCATTTGTTCCACAGTTCGGTCAAATGTATCGCCCTGTTCATCGTCGACTTCGGATTCAATTCGTTGTGGCTCCAGGGCGGGATTATGTAGTGTAATATCGGGCTCGACGGATTTCTGGGCTGCTGTGCGCAGTCTTCGGATAGGAGCAACAGCCCAGTGGGTCAGAAGAGGGACGAGAAGGATAATGGCACCGGCTGTGCCAAAAACGCACGCAATAATAATCTTCCGTAACCGGACAACTGGTGCAAATGCTTCCGAGTGAGCCTCTTCTACGAGGAGAATCCATTGGACGAGAGTGTTTTGAGGACGGACAGCGCCCACGGCAACATTCGCCCCTCGCTCGTTTCGAGTTGACAGATCACTGATGGCTTTGTTCACGTTCACGTATGATTGCAACATGACTTGTAGGGCTATCGGGTACGTAGAAAGGACAAACGGCATATCGGTCGACATACCACTGTGCCGGCTAACCTGGGTGGGCAAAGGGGTAGGCTCGAAGATATAGTGAACCTGCGCTCCATTAAGAGCGGTAGCATGAGCAGCAGATGTGGCTGTTGCGGGCTGCTCACTGGAAGCGAAGGTGTTTGCTCTTCGTGAAGGTCCAATGAGGAGAACCTGGCCGGTATTTCCCAGCCCATCTCGCGAGCTAACAACACTCTGTAGATTCGCGGCACTAGCGACAATACTGGGGGGATGATCAGTTTGGGGTCCAGCGGTTGCTTGGCATTGGAGCAGCTACTCACGTTATGAAGCCCAAGATTTCTATATCTGAAGTGTTATTGACGATCGGCAAAGTCAATGACACCAGAGAGAAGGAGTTGTTGACTTTTAATGGACCAAGAAGCAGTGCTGAATCCAATCCAAGTGTATAATCGGGGAATGAATAGACGACCGTTGAGTCGTTGTCGCCTGGCCCGGCACGATAAGTCAGATTTGGGTACAGCGAAGGGGGGTAGCCTAGTCCATCATCTCCCAATCGTACAGAAGTCCCGTTCGAGTATGTATATGGAAGAGTGATGTTCGGAACACTGTTGCTGGTCTGGTTTAACAAGGCCTGATTTCCTCCTTTGCCGTCCTTTGAATGGATGATGGCCTGGTAAAGGTCCAAGTATCCACGGCTACCTAAAGCAGATTGCACGTCCGCTACCGAGTTTATCCAGTTCTCGTCGGACGTGTTTCCCGCATAGTAACGTCTCAAGGCTGATTGGATCAGGATTCGTGTGGCGATGGTCTTGCAGGTTGTTTCGAGAAGGTCCAAATTCGAAGCAATCTGACTGGCCTTGGTGGTCGCAACGAGTTCGAGGCCCTGCGATCTGTCAAAGGTTAGATTTTGGGATTGCATATCAGGAAGCAGCGCATACTCGACGTCCACTACAAAGTTGTAGGTGGTGAACCACTAAAATAGTCAGATTCGGTTTTCATTCGTGCGATTGCAACTCTCTACCGTTGCAATGGCTAGCACTGCGACCCCGGAGACCGCAGTCAGCAATACCAGCAGCGCAAGCTGCACAGCAATGGGAATCCTCATCCGATCACATAAGACCAAGAATGGGTAAAATCGATGAGTTTATCCGATAGCTATCACGGTCAAACGACAGATCAAGCGTAGAGAAGTCCAGATACCTGTTGACAGTCAACGTCGGTGCCAAGACCCTGTTTTGTCACACCTACATGAGTTCTTCAGGTATTTCCCGTCTTTTTTTTTATTATAATTCCTTTTCTAAGGAGAGAAGTGAAGAAACAAAGTGAAAGTGGAATGGGAAATTTGAGGGTAAAAGTGCATATAGGGGGGAAATCAAAAACAAGTCCCAAACAAGTCAACAACAGTCTAGATGGGACTAGATGCATCGAGTGGCGGAGTATCCTGGATATTTTGTATCTGACACGCGACTTATCCTGTTCTACTCCGTACACTATATTATGTTATTATTTGAGAGAACCGTTGGCTTTTGAACGTGAAACTGGGTGAAAATTGCCGACTGCAAACTCCACCGCGATTGGACGCATGTCGTTGCCGAACATTGTTGGATTTCTCGACCTGTGATTGGGTGTCCTTTTCTAATTTTGTTGAATTTGATTGAAAATGTCTACAACATAATATCTGGTCTATTTCTATGGATTGTGGCCTAAGCACGTACCCTTGAGTGTATCTAGATTAACGACGTATACATATATATACTTCAAGGAGAGTCTTATTACTAGGGTCAGACTAGACCAAAAATTAACAAGACGAGAGCAATAGCAGATCCAAACTGGCTTCTTAGGGGTTGGTTGCCTCGATTAACCTCAGCAGTGCTGCTTGTGGCTTCACCTTGAGTCTCAGTGGGAGTGTTTGACGTATTTTGAGAATTTTGAGCAGTCGATGTCGATGTCGATGTGTTTTGTGTGGCCATATTCATGTGCTTGAAGGCAACCAGGTTCGAGGTAAAGAGACTGGTAGCGCTCATTTGTGCCCCCATACCTGTAGTACCATCCCATTTTGACTGGTACCACCGTTGCCCGCAAATAGTTCCATTCTCTCGACCGGTACATTGCCTCGCGGCTCCAACAGCGGATCCCTGCAATCTTCCTAGGATCTCGGATGTGGTATAGGGGGCCATACGCGTGACAACCGCAAGGTCAGATGCAAAAAGTCCCTTGAAAACCTCTTGGTCTCGGGTGCAAATTCCGGAAGCTTCGCAGCTGATCTCTACCATGATTTTGCCACCGTACCTCTCTGGGAAGAAATTGTGGAAGCTTGTGTTGAGAAGACCATCGAGGCCTGATTTCCATTTGGATGTTTCCCCATTTGTCTGTGTTTCTTCATGTCAGCGATCGTCGCAATCTCCATTCAGACTTCACTTGGGTACTAACCACGTTGTACATATAGGCAGCCCCACTGATATATGCTCCATAGCTATAAGTCCACTGTAGATCCCCGTGTGACTTGCAATCGGATTCAACATCTAACACATCGCCAATCGTCCATTCGGCGGTGTTCAAAATCGGAACACTAGCACTCCAGTCCCATATCTTCTCCGCCCAGTCAGAGTAGGTCTGATTTTTGGTATATCGGGCCAGACGCGCAGAGAGCTGGAACAATCCTCCGTTGCTGATAGCATCCTTAGTATTGTACCCAATCTGGTAAGGCCAGATCTGCCAGCGCAAGCCGCCATTGCAGCTCCTAGTATCCCATCGCGCAATCTGGGCCTGAAACACGCCCTCGGCTAAAGTCAACCACGAGGGCATCGAGGAATCCTCAATGTATTCCAGTTCTGCGGCGGTCATAGCAGCGAGACCCCACGCCATTTGGTCGTCATTGCCCAGATATTGGCTGTAGTTGGCAGGGAAGTAGTTGTTATCCCCACGCTGCCAATACATGCCTTGACTCACAGCTTGATTGTTGGAAGCGTCACCAGTAAAATACCAATATTGGATCATTGTCTGAAATAAGGCAGCGCCCTGCCACCATGTCCCATCAAGCTTTCCCGGAATGTGGCCAGTGATGTTGGACGTGTACGTCGACATGGTGTTGAATGCCGCAGTCGCAGCCGCATTCTTAATAGATTCTGCTTGCATGTCAGATATAATTTGTTCCCATCGATATATCAATAGAATAGCCTACGCTCATCATTGGTCTTGAGATCAATTGCCGCGACAGAGCCTGCCAGGAGGGCAACGGCAAATGCCTGGAGATTGTTGAACATACTGCAATCACACAGAAGCAATCCCTAGATCAAATAACCCTGAAACGTAACCTGAAGAGAAGGAAAAGGGGGGGGTTTTTTTTTTGGAAAAAATCTCACGAATCGGAAGTCCGAACTTTAGTTCGAGGGTCTTTCAGGGGCGTCACTTGGCCCCAGTGCGTAACATGTTGGTAACAGTAATTGATACCTCGATATTTGGCTGGTAAGATATCTGGTGATCTCGTTTCGTATTGTGTATTTATGTATTTGTGTATTCATGTATCTTTGGCCCCTTCTAGTATGTACTTGAAATGTATTATTGTAGGCTGCTGAACCCATGCATATCACTACCTTTTATATACTACTCCGTACAAGCTTTGAACTTGGATGTCTCTCTCTCTTCCAACCGGGGGCCCAAATTATTATTGGAGGGTGTGAAAAGAGCTCTATTACACAACAGAAGATGGCTCGTGAATGGAAAAGCACAAGTGTTTGTAGATTGTTACATATTTCCAAGGCTCTAGCATTGCTAATCTAATAGTTCAAAGTCAGTCAGATAGTGAGACATTCGCATATTCATTGGTTTAAGCGTGGCTTCAAGTAGACCTAAAAGGCGCGAACACATCATGTATTTGGGAGTCTCTAATGATCGAGGTAGCAATTGTCAATGTTCAAGTCTTAAGGATCAATGGTTTCAGTAGACAGAAAATGCCACAGTTAAGCTATGTAAAAAGTGACAGAAGAGCAAAGAAAAGAGAAAAAGGACTGATTCTCTATAAAAAACAGACGCTAAATAGCGAAATGGAAGCCTGACAAACCAGGCATCAAGGCAGTGACCTGTCTTAATAAGAAGTATAGTTGGACATTTAACAAGTTGTACAGGTTGAACAAATTCACAAGATGATACTCCATCTACTGGGTGTAGCTGCAGCCATTGGGGTTCGAGGTCTCCACGACACGAGCGGCAATGCCCACACAGTCGGTGTTGCCAGCAGGGTTGGCAACGCCAGCAGAAGCCCAGATGCTCCAGGCACCGTCAATGCTGTTGGGGCAGGCAATCAGATCGTTTCCTGCAAACTGGAGGTGGCCATCCTTCTCGGTCCAGCCTTTGCGCTCGGAGTTCTTGGGGGTGGGCTGAGCACCAGTGGTGTATCCAATCTTGCCCTGGCCTGTATATCAAAGTCAGTTTATTTACCAACATAGTGGGATTGTGAGAGTGATAACATACCCATGCCGGAGCGATCAACGTAAATCTCCTGGGGAGTGGCGGACTGATCATACAGGTACAGAGCACCGTCATTGATGTAGAAGGTCGCCTGCTGCTCCTTGGGACGAGCGCAACTGGCACCCTGGCTGGGCAGACCAGCGAAGATGCTGCTCTTAGCAGCGTTGAAGGCAGAGTATTGCACGCCACTGCCAGAGTGAATAGCCACGACACCAAATGTCTTAGACTGGGTGGAAGGGGCGGCGGAGACAACGGCGCTGACGGAGGCAGCGATGGCGAGGTTCTTGAGCTGCATATTGGCGATGAAGGGGGATGAGAAGATTGGATTGAGAAAATACAAGAATGATTGAATTGGGAGGATTGATAGTTGATGTTTCTAGAATTGAGATGCTGAAATGCTGTCCCTTTTATATGTTGTACTTAGAAGCGCCACTCCCGTTGCCGAGTTGATGTCTCACCCATTGAGACTATTCTCGAAGCCAAGTATTGGACTACATCAGACTACAGCATCAATATTCCACAAATTGACATCAGCGTGACTCTTTTATGGGGCAATCTTGTCGATCTCTCTCGTGGTTCTATCAATAATGTCTTATCCCTGAGTAGTAGTGTTAATGGGATACCTAGGTACTCTGTATAATCCATGGATATCCCAGATCCGAATTCATTCATTAGATATAACAAGCACTTCATAACTCATTGTTTGCATTTGAAGCGTCAGGTCAATTCCGTTGAATATCCTGAACAAAATATCTTGCCCCTAAATGACTTAATATCGCTCCCCCACATTTCTTTCATGTTTCTCCGAATTTATACCCACATGTGCACAATATCCGAATCAAAGCCAATCAGGGTCCAATGCCTTTCTGCACCGGAGAAACATACATATACAATAATAGGTCTACTATTTAAACAGGTTTTCTGCCTATTTTCAGTCATTTCACTTATTATGGCTGGCGGGTTCCTTCAACAAGTATCCATAAATAGCACCGGAGTGTCTCACCGTTCTGTAGACTGATTCGAAATCTTTGGCTTCTACTTTAGGGGCGGAGTAGTACACTTCAAATATTATACTATTCATCAATCTTAAAAAGAATCCCATGGCTTATCATGAGCATTGAATAAGACGGACACTATAATACATATACATATTTCGCTTCTTGCTCCATGATTCCACGCCGAATCATGAAGATGCAACGCCTAGAGATGAATTTCCTATCTCGAACCAAACCAGGATTGAGGGAATTTCCGTACAAGCACCAGCTTGAGCACGCTCATAACCCATGTTGAGATATGCTAATAACAAGAAAGCAATTGTCCTTACTCAGGAGCAGCGCACGAGAAGACACCACCAACTTCTCCTTTGTCGTACTTGATCATCTAGGTGAGCCAGTTAGTAACACAATTCTTGCCCCAAGACAGACTATCATGGAAAAACTTACGATGTCATCAATGCTGGAATAGGTTCCTCCAACAAGTACCACCATACCGATCAGGAAAATCACCATGTTGGCGACTGCCTGCAACAAGTTCTTGGGGTCTTTCCAACTGCCTTTCCGAAGGAGCATGAACCACATCATGGCAGGGAAGTAGAAGGTGAAGCCGGAGATGAAAAGAGCAGAAGAGATTGAAAGCAAGTCGTTGAAAAAAGGAATCACCTCGGCAATGATGAATGCCACAATTGTGGCGGCCGTGATCACCGCAAGCCATGTCAGCCATCCCATCTTGGTGTTGATGAAGCGGATGGGGGAGTTGGCGAAGATGCGACCATGAACCAGACGCCCAAATACAACGGTATTAATCGAACCACTGATGAAGATCACTGGGAGAGCAACGCCGTATGCAACGCGGCTAAGAGTAGTTCCGGCAGAGGTAAGTGCAGGGCTGGACACGTCCTGGCCAACAAAGGCGTAGATCGTAGCACCAGTCACCGTGTAGATGACGATCTCGGTGATACCTAGCGTCCAGATTGACTTAACAAAGTCCCGAGGAGTGTGCATTTCATCCATAAAGGAGAACTGGCACATGGCAAAACTGTAGGCGAAAACGATGTTCGTCACAGCGATGAAGGCTTCGGTGAAGGTGATATTATCCTTTGGCCACGCAGACCATGGGACTCCGGAGAGTCCAGCGGGTGAGCTAGTCGCCTGCACGCCCGTACCGATAATTGTGATTCCAATGGCAATGATGATGGATGCAAAATCGACATAGCCCAGAATGGCCACCTCGGTGAAACTGGGCGGGATGGCGAGTAACAGCAGGATAATGGCGGAAACCACGGCAAAAATGATCGAGCAAATGCCGCTTTTGGTGATGTCGAGGAATGCGATGGTTCCCGTCAGACAGTGCGAGGCCGTGAGGAAGATTAGTTGGAGACCGAGCATCCCATTGACAAGCTCATATCCAAACCGACCACACCCTAACCGATGGCCTAGCAACCGACCCGCATCGGCATAGTTGGCAACCTCGGGGAAGGCCAATTTGACCATTCCGACAATGTAACTGGTATAGATGGCGATGAGGCCGATGCCCACACAGCAGAGCACACCGGGGACCATGCCTAGTGTTGCAAAGGTGGAGGGAATCGACAAACTGCCGAGTGCAATCGCTTCGACGATGAGGACGATGGTGAGTCGCTTCCAGCCGAGACGGTTGAACTTCTTGATGCCATGGTCATATATGTTCCTCTCGGCCTCGCTCATTTCCCCGACCATGTCCCCCTCAAACGGCGGTGGGGGAGCATATGCGGCCTTCTCGCCTTCTGTTTCCATCACCTTGTCGGTGTCATGGCTGTTAGAGATGTTTTCGAGGCCCATGATGTTGGAAGTGAGGCTAGTCTGCCAGGCGAAATGGAAGGGAGGAAGCCGGGTATATAAGAAGGCAAATTTCGCCCACTTCGAATGCGGGCACTATCAGGAGGCAAAGCAGGATTTCCATGACTAACGGGATTTTGTGAACTCTGCTTGGCTGCTCCAACACGTGGAGTACGACGCTGATCCACTCAAAGTGATCGACCACCCAACGAGCTCACCGGAAACAGGGATTGGACCCATTGTGAATGGGGTGGAAGGGATTACAGTGGAATTTTAGGCGAAACGTAGCCCGACGCCCCATTTTAGTGTCCGCTGTGCGATAAGAAGGTTCGGAACGTTAGGTAAAAGAAATTCAACATTGGTGTAATGCGTAGTTCGAGAGCCACTTGAGGGCCACTTGAGGACCACTTCAGAGCCACCGAGTGCTTTGACGATGTTACACTATGGAGTCTCTCCCCGCGTTACTGATTGCGGGGGAAAGAAACCAAGAAAAGAACAGAAGAAGCCCATCGAAAAACAAGAACTATATAGAGAATAGAGATTTTCTTTAATCACGCCACAGAAGATCCCGAAAGCCGAATTGCCAATGAAAGACTCGGAAGTGTTGGGGGGCGCCGACTTGCCCGGTCTGGGCGGCCGATAAGATTTTGGGTCACGTGATTGGCTGCAAACAGAGCAAATCACATTCAACATGAAATGTCCACATATTGTCTTGCTACGTATTCCAGTACCTGTCCTACATTGTCCTACGTACTCCTTACAGATTATATGGAGTACAAGGTTCAGACAACTCCGGGTATTCTCGTATACCATGCGAACCAACTTCCTCCCCCCCCAAAAATCGAGAGACCCTCTTTGGGGTATATCGTAAACCTGGAGATGCGGAGCGCCACCAACGCCATTCGGTTTAGCGGCCGTGGGAAAATAGCGCAGATATTGACTTCATGATTCGCCGTCCTGACCGAAATGTCAAATGCGATGGAATGGGTCTCCCCCAGACTCGGACTGGTCATAGACATCATTGCGAGAAATTCCCCAGTCTCCAACTCATCCGTGGGATCCGGGGCCTTTGTTCTCCATACGTAATAAACTCAATTCCTCCAACTTTCGCATCTACAATTCCGTAACGGGGTCATTGCTTATATCGGTGCTAACGTTCCCGGGCCCCCAGACTAGTTTTCCCGCGAATCGAGACATCCGCTAGAAACACCGTCGAAATACACGGAAGCTGCGGGTCAGCTCGGCCATGATCACTCAAAAACCTGAAACACGGCACACCCCATGCGCGATTTAATGTTGGGAATCCAACATGCGTCTTGTACGATATTTGCACTGAAGATCCTCGTCATATAGCGTGCGACCTCTCCCGACCGTGGCGATCTTCGTTCAGTTGCTTCATTCCCCCCCGCAGCTGTGTCAAATAGAAGTGGGACGACTTCCTCTAGCACCTTTTCATACCTACAACAGCGGCTGTGCCAGCAATCTGATGATCATACATAGCAAGATACAGACGTGTGTTCTCCATCCTCATCGCAATCTTCGCCAACTCACGGAATAGCCACTGAGAACGCCCATTGTACTAAATTTCCGCACTCGAAGCCTCGTTTTTGGAAGACCATACGACAGGCTTCAGCTTGACTACGGATATGAATAGCTTTATCCCTTCGCTTCATTCAATGGGCTGAGCATTTAATTGATAATCCACAGGCAATACTGCCGTGACCTAACACCAGGGACGACCCATCATGTCCAGGGCGACGGAGGCTCCACCGAGTTGATGGTCGCCTTTTGAGTCACAGAGCTCCTGGATCCGTGACACCCTGGTAGGGTCCATATAAACAGGTGTCATCAATCGGGTAACAGAAGTAAGATTCTAGGATAAACTAAACATCTACTGTCTCATATTTCTCTACTATATGCATACAACATACCTCATATGTCTTGCTTTTCCTGCTTTTCTTGCTTCCACTGCGGTAAAGCCTCTGGGCAATTGGCCAAACACCAAACCCACACTACCACATCAATTCTCTAGCGGGTCTCGACTATGATTCTTCCTTCAAGCAGTCAGTAATTGACTTTCCAACGTAATCCACGTTTTGTTTATTGAGGCCAGCAATTGATATGCGAGAGTTGTCTGCCATGTAGATGTGGTATTCCTCTGATGTCGCCACATGTCAGTATGTCACCAAAAGCGTAATTCCAACGACGGAACGAACCGCGAAGTCTTCGCACAACGCTTGGGGACAGTCCCAGAAATCCAAACATTCCGGACTGGCGGATCAGGTGCTCCCAAGAGCCAGGTGCGCCTAGTCATGTTAATAGATCTTTGTTTACTCCAGACAGGCGATGCTTACCGGAAGACACCAGACTATCATACAATTCCGACCTCATAGAGCGAATGCGGCTGCTCATGGTAATCAGATCATCATGCCAGGCCTCCCTAAGGGTAGCATCGGCTAATATGGTGCTCGCAATTTTCGCACCATACGCTGGAGGGTTCGAAACTTCAGAACGCTGAAGCATTTCAAGCATTGATTGTGTCTTTACGGCCGCTTGTTCGGTACTCGTTGCCAATAAAAAGCAGCCGACCCGTTCCCCTATCAAATGTTATTGGGTTATCATTTTTGCCATGAACTGACCGTGGCACGGGTCGATACCATAGAGACCCATGTTTTTCGCAAAAGACAGACACATGCCAGCTTCCAAATCCATCTCTTCGACAAATAGTCGAATAGCAAAGGCATCACTATCAACATTTCCGGAGTTAAACCCTAGATAAGCAGCGTCAAAAAGTGGGAACAACTGCCTCTCTTTAAAGAGGCGCGCAAGCTCTCGCCATTGCTCCTCGCTCGGATCACACCCTGTTGGGTTATGAGCACATGCATGGATGATGAACACAGAATTGGGCTCGGCCAGTTTCAGTGCAGAATAATAAGAATCGATGTCCAAATCTTTTGTCTCTGGGTTGTAGTATCTGAAGGATTCACATTGGAATCCAAGGGACGAAAACACCTGATGGTGGTTCGACCAAGTCGGCTCAGGGATGTATACTTTTGGAAGAGGTGTCTTGCAAGCTCTTAGCAACAGCCCAGCCAAGTGTAGTGCTCCAGTGCCGGAGAGGCTTTGGCAAGTCGCCAGCTATTTATACAATAATCAGCTTTTGCATTACTTCAATTTTATGACGAGTGCGGAGGCGCCAGTACTTTGTCCTGTTGCTTTTGAAACAGCTCTGGGCCCAGTGCTAACTTTGCAGCCTCTTTGCGGAAATCTGCCAGGCCGACAATAGGGAGGTATTCGTGATTCAGCTCCTGTGATAGCAACTTCCGACTCTCCCTGACCGAGGGAAGAACCCACGGGTTCCCATGCTCGTCGCGGTACGTACCCTGGCCCAAGTTGACTTTCTTGGGAGATGTGTCTGCAAGGTACTGAGCAGTCAACGCAAAAATTGCATCGGGTGGGATGAAACGAGCCTGGTCAAACCAGGACTGAGTGGTAATGTTTCGAGTGATGGTTTCAGAGGTCATTGTGTAAAATCGGCTCGATTCGGGAGTTCGACGGAGAGACTGCATGCTCAATCTGGGCTGTTGTTTAGTATTAAAGGAAGCTGTATACCGACAACTTGACGTGATATCATACTCGGGTTCCAGGCCGAGTTGCCCAAATACTCCCCGCACCTGCAGAACCCCACCGGAGTAGATAGTACATACATCTCGGAAATAGGGCCGAGTCAAATAAACCAGATTCAATCAGATTAAAATTAGAAAGATATCTAATTCGTTGATCGGGTGGAGGAGCCGAGAGTGGACTCATTTAGGTTGTTGATCTCTGTACAAGATTGGCTTCGTCGGTTCTGGCATCCGACATTGGTAGTTCGAACATCAAAACAGCGGCCAAATAGCCTAAAATAATCGGAGATATGGCCGTTTGCCCCTCATTTCGACCGAAGAGGGGAATATCTCTCATCAGATATGGATATCTTATAAGAGTTATACTAGGACTAGAGCTACTGGATTAGCACAAACTTCGACATATACTTCTACAATCTCTACAGCCTCTACAACCTCTGCAATGGGTTCTCAAACTGTTTCTCCCCAACCTCATGTCCCTTCATCGGGAGTCTGGTGTCCTGCGGTCACTTTTTTTCACCATGACACCGACTCGTTAGATCTCGCCTCTCAATCCAAGTACTTTGCCTATCTATCCAAAACCGGGCTAGCGGGTCTAGTGATCCTGGGCACCAACTCAGAAGCCTTCCTCCTCACTCGTGAAGAGCGATCTCAGCTCATCTCAACTGCACGAGCCGCCGTTGGGCCTGACTTTCCCCTGATGGCCGGTGTCGGTGCACACTCGACCAAGCAGACCCTCGAACTCGCACAGGATGCCGCGGCCGCCGGTGCCAACTACCTTCTTGTCCTCCCTCCCGCATACTTCGGCAAAGCTACAAACATGAACGTGGTGAAGCGCTTCTTTTCCGAAGTGGCAGCCAAGTCGCCTCTTCCAGTGGTGATATACAATTTCCCGGGGGTGTGCAACGGGGTGGACATGGACTCCGAGACCATTGCCGCTATTGCACGGGAGCCGGGGTCTGTGGACGCTAGTGGACGGTCCAACGTGGTCGGGGTCAAGTTGACCTGTGGATCCGTGGGAAAGATCACTCGGCTGGCTGCAGCATTTGCGCCCGAGGACTTTGCGACCTTTGGTGGGCAGTCCGATTTCCTGATTGGTGGGCTAGCTGCAGGAAGTGCTGGGTGTATTGCTGCCTTCGCCAATGTCTTTCCCAAAGTGACGGCTCGGATCTATGCGTTGTATCAGAAGGGTCAGATTGTGGAGGCGGTGGAGCTCCAAAGGAAGGCGGCGGTCGCAGAAAGTGCCATCAAAAGTGGCATTGCGTCAACTAAGCATGCAGTGGCATGCTACTCCGCTCAGTTGGCAGAGATCCAGGATGCAGCAGGTAACCTGGCCCCTCGACACCCTTACGAAGAGGTGGGAGAGGGGGCCAGAATCGTGATCCGAGAGGTGATGGCTGAGGTCGCTGAGATCGAAAAGAGCCTGTAACGAACTAGACTTGTATTAATGAAGATGAGCCTCAGTTTCTAATTTTTCTTTTTTTCCCTTTTTTTTTTCCTTCTTTTGACCTTCATTTATCTGCTGTGGTTAATTGTAGTTTATGTTGGGATGTTGAAGATGTTTGAGATGCCTGGTCAAGGGGTGGTCAATGGAGATTTCGGGGATGGTTGCCTGATAATCCAGGCCAGTAACTTGGGACATCTCTTTGTCCTTTCGCCTTGGCTCAACAGTTAATGCGGTCTTATCCTCTCCCTTTTCTTGACACTCTTAGTCCGAGGGGCTATTAATAGCCACACTAGTATAGCTCACACGCATTCTAATCGGCCCGATGGGCATTTGGGACTCCGAGCTCAGTAATCAGTACTCCGTACGGAGTACGAAGTAAATCTAGGTACATATGCATTTGAGGTATAGAGGCTTTGCATAATGATATTTTGCATAAAACCTACAACATCGGTGATATAGCCCTAATTGCATAGTATTAAGAGTAATCCCAAATGAACCTCGGTTTAAAAGATGAAAAATCTCTTCCAATCACCAAAACATCGGCCCAGCCGAGAAAATCGATTACTGATCGGGCCGGGACTAAGTGGAGATTGTCGGGATCTCGAAGATATTAAAGCCAATCAAAGGGCTGTTTCTATATTTTCTCTTGTGTTATGGAGGAAATATGAGGAAATATGAGGAAATATGCAGCTTATTATTCTATCTTCTCCCCCCACTGCAGCTAAAACGAGCAATCCCTCCGATATGGACGGAGGACATGTATTACATATAGTAAAATAACACTAGCCCTACAGTCTTGAAGAAAAATTTTACCTAGCACATTATCACATTCTACTTTATATCACATCTCACGCAGATCGCAGATCTACCTAGCTCTAGAGGTAATCTCCGAGTCTCAACAATGGAGGTCTCCGAGACTACCAACTCCTTGCAGTTGCCAAACTCCATCCCATTCTGGCGACTCGTTCTCAACCCCGGTGCTATCACCCAAGAGGTTGCTGACCACCCTTGTGCCGGCTCAGGGACCGAAGAAGATCCCTATGTCGTGGAATGGATGCCCAAGGACTTTCGGAACCCTCTTCAGTTAAAGACGTCCATGAAATGGTTCATCACTGTGGTCGCCGCCCTCGAGACCTTGGTCGTTGCTCTGGTCTCCTCCGCCTATACTGGTGGTCTTCTTCAAATTCAAGAACGATTTGGCGCGACCTCCGAGGTTGCGACCTTGGGAGTATCCCTCTATGTACTGGGCTTTGCCTTGGGCCCTCTCATCTGGGCCCCGATGAGTGAAATCTTCGGTCGCCAGCTTGTCTTCGTCACAACCTACTGCGGCTTGACCATATTTTGTGCCGCTTGTACGGGCGCGGAGAACATCGAGACCCTACTGGTCTTCCGATTCTTATCCGGTGCTTTCGGCTCCTCTCCCCTTACCAACTCAGGCGGTGTTATCGCCGACATGTTCATGGCTCGCGACCGAGGATTGGCCTTGTCGGCCTTCGCGTTAGCTCCATTCCTAGGACCCGTTATTGGACCCATCGCCGGTGGTTTCCTCGGTATGTCTAGCGGGGGCTGGAAGTGGGTGATGGGTCTCTTGGCCATTCTCTGTGGTGTTATGTGGATCTTGGGAGCCGCGTTGAAGCCTGAGACTTATGCCCCCGTTCTTCTTCGCCAGCGTGCGAAGACTCTCTCCAAGCTCACAGGTCAGGTGTACTACAGCAAGTTAGATATCGATCAAGGGCGTCTCACTTTGAAAGCCGCCTTAAAAATCTCCCTCTCGCGACCCCTGATTCTTCTTTTTCAAGAACCTATCGTCTTGCTGCTCTCGATCTACCTCGCTATCATCTACGGAACCCTCTATATGCTTTTCGGCGCCTTCCCCATCGTGTATCAGCTCCATCGTGGATGGAATCAAGGTGTCGGCGGCTTAGCCTTCATCGGTGTCATGATCGGTATGATTGGTGCCGTTGCCTATTCAATTCCTGAAAATAAGCGCTATGCGAAACTTCTCAAGAAGAATGGTGGCTATGCGCCTCCAGAAGCCCGCCTTCCGCCGTGTATGCTGGCCTCTATTGCCCTCCCTATAGGACTCTTCTGGTTCGCATGGACCAACTCTCCATCCGTCCACTGGCTTGCAAGCATCGCTGCTGGAGTTCCGTTCGGGTTCGGAATGTTGCTCGTCTTCCTCAGTGTCTTCAACTACTTGATCGATGCTTACACCATCTTCGCGGCATCTGTCTTGGCAGCCAACACGCTACTACGGTCGTTGTTTGGATTTGCATTCCCCCTGTTCACCAGGTACATGTACGAAGATCTGGGAATCCATTGGGCATCCTGTGTTCCGGCTTTCTTGGCACTTGCGTGCGTGCCTTTCCCCTTCCTGCTTTATAAATATGGACTGTCTATCCGAAAACACTGCAAGTACTCTGCGCAGTCTGAGGCCTTTGTTCAAAACCTTGTTCAAGGAATCCAAAAAGCCACCGAGGAGCCTATCGAGATTGAGCCCGAGATGTCCCAAACCACATCGGCAAATGATGAGGTCGCCTCGCTCTCTCACAACAAGGAGACCCCCGCGGATGTTCACTCAATTCATCACACTCTTTCACGCACTTCCACCAATGCGACGCATACCATGCATCGGGTGCCTACATATGAAGCCAATCCTTACAACGTTGACCGCGTTCATACACGGGAGTCGTTCAAATAATCCTAGCCATCGATCATAGAAGGGGAACATGGGCGTTTTGGAGGACCTCTGAGAATATCAAGAGCGAAAAGGTCCAGTCTTTGGACTTCACGTTTTTCAATGTTGCATTGCTTCGTCTTCTGCTTTTTTTTTCTTTCGTCGGGTTCCATATACCATAGATCGCGTTGACTACTAATTATAATTGCACTTTAATGTTTTGTGATCTTGTCTTATCCTAGTTATACACAGGAAAGTCCTGTATACACGGTTTATGCTTTTTACTGTCTTTGTATGTTGTATATCGTAGTAACATCAAGAAGAAGAGATATCTAAAATGAGCATCCAAAAACGACATCGGAGTGTTATCTTCCATATAACGTCCCTAATATCATCTTGAGCCTGATAAATCAGGTTACTAAAGTCTTACGTCGTCGAGGGCAGAGACCGCATACGCGGCCCCCTACTCTTGTGAGAATATGAACAGTAAACAGTCGTCATCCGTCATCCTTAATTCCCTATCCCGAGGTCCCTTTCCTATATTGTTCGTTTCCAATATATCAAGTATCACATACCACATATTCCATGGGAAAACAACAATTAAAAGCAATCCTCTTTTAGTGCACACCATTCGATAATCCATTAGTTACCCCGTTGGCCAAGCCATTTGAGATTCCATTGCTTTCTCCATCCGAGATAAAATGTTTCACGCCATTAGTAAGTCCATTGATTTTACCAAGAGGTACTCCTGGTGGCACTCCAACAGAAATGGTGCTCTTTTTCCGGGGTCGCTCCGGCGCGGTCCAGATAGAACCATCATCAAGCAGCCCCTGGCCCAAAGCAAGCACCTTGGATGGCGCTTCGCCCAGCCATTCGGACTCTAGTCGGTCGATGTTCTGTTCAATTTCCCAAGCACGACCACCTTCAATGAACATAGATGTGCCGTTAAGAGACTGATCAGCCAGGACTCCGGTGGCCACAGTAGCAACCTGCTCAGGAGTATTGATGGGAAGTTCGGCCCGCTTCCACTGTGCCTCAATCTTCTTGATGCTATCAGTCTGGGTCACCCAGGGGCACACAGTATTGATACGAAGATAGTGCTTGTACGGTGAGGAGATATAGGTGCGTAGGGAACGCATGAGGCCAGTGACACCGTGCTTGGAGGCTTGGTATATGAAAAGAGACGGGCTGTCCTTGAAACCAGAGACACACGAAAATAGGAGAATCGACCGGTCGCAGTTGGATCCACGGTTATGGCGCAAGTAGACAGAGGCGATGCGGGTAACATACATGGACCCGAGGAGATTGACATCCATGACTTTGTGGGTGGGGGTCTGAACGTAAGATTGGATTGTTAGATGTTTCCACGAAGGAAGTCTGGCCAAGCAACCGGGGTTGATATCCAGCTAGCAATTGCTTACCTGGCGGACGGTCTCCAGCGTAAGTGCGGTATCGAACCAATTCCCTATTTCCACGATACCAGCCGCCGAGATGACATGATCGATGCGCTTGTAGGTCTTAAAGGCTAGATCAAACAATGCCAACACCGACGGGTAGTTGGTGACATCGGTGGTCTGGAAAATCGCGCGCGGGGGCATGTCTTCTTCCTCCGGGTGGAATTGGTCACAGCATTTCTTCAGTAGACGCTCGCCCGAGATGTTATCGAGGTCACCAATGCATACATTGGCACCACTCTCCAAGCATTGCGTCACTAGACTCGAACCAATGCCATTGGCACCACCTGTATAAGACGAGATAAGATGACCGCAGAAAAGTCAGGAGAAGGGCTCGACCTACCTGTGATGAGAATGACCTTTTTGGCAAGGCAATTGGGGGGAATGCTTGGGATATACTGCGACATTAGGGGCAGATCAGTGGGGAGATTTGAGTGGATCAATAAAGATGATCGTGGGGCCAGGTACGGAGTCGAGTAGTGGGATTAGCAGATAAGCAAAGAAAGTGCTAACTGCGGACCATAAGCTCGCTTTTATATGTGTTAGATGCCTGTTCAGGCACAGGGGTCACAGTCAAATGTCTTAGAAAGTCCAAATCCACCCCCAAATGTTCAAATGTTGAGGGGAAGGAACCAATCCGTTTGGATAATACAATTCCTAAGCCATGACATCTCAGAATATGGAAACGGCTCCGGGGACGACGGTAACTCAGCCGAGGGCCAAGGACGCACGTCCACGTTGTCTCCATCGAGGGCTTTTGCATAAACAAATAAGCGATCCTATAGGCACCCAGGCTTATGGGAAAGACCAGTCATAAAAGAAATCAATATGGGATGATGCGGGGAGGCGTTAGCCAATGACGCTGGTGTGCAGATGGAATATGCGAAGCCAAAGCACACAGACGCGGGAGGAAACCAGGCTAACACCTGGGTAATTGGCACTGGCTTCCTTGACCTATACCAGGGGGTCTTTCGGAATCCTGTGGTCCGAGGTCTGCTTTGACTGTCTCCTTGGTCCCCCAACAGCCAGGACACTGTTGAAAAGTGGCAGTGATGCTCGGCAGAGAGAAGGATAGGATTGTATCTACTCCACTTCTCGGATAGCCGGATCGAATATATGATGTACATACATCGATGTACGGAGTACATACATAAGAGGTACTGTACTGGGGTGCATATGCGGGAGCGGCAAGTCGGGGGAAGCCGGGGAAGCGGGGGAAAGGACAAAAGTACAGATGTAACATTAGTCCAACTCATTCTCGTAATAGTCGATAAATTAGTTCTATCGTACAGGCAAAAATAAAACAAAACATTCACTCTTTTCCAGTACATATGCATACCCAAAAAAAAAAAAATCATAGATGCCATTGCGGCTGCAAACATGGGGAATACAGAGCATGAAACATCAAAGCAAAATTCTATCAAGGAGACCGAAAATACCACCGCAAGCCAAAGGACGAATATTTACAACTGGCTATGCCTAGGAAAGTCTTAACGGCGAGAGACACAGCACAAGATACCAGACTTGCCCAGGAACCAGAGGGATCCAATAAAGCGGAAAATCGACAGACCGGCGGTCGTCCACAGAATAGCGGCGAAGTATTTGGAGGTACGAACGGTAGAAGTGTTCTGTGCATGTTAGTTTATGCCACAGCCTAGAGTTAGACAAGATACATACTGTGAGACAGAGACTGGTAATTCCTTCACTGGTGATACACAGTGCAAGGATCAGATTGCTGAAAATCCAAATCAACACCAGGTTGGTTCGGAAAGCCTTATAGCCATCGTCCATGCTTGGTTCATCATTATCTTCAGGCTCAACATATGGCTCCAGCGCTCTCTTGACCGTCGATTCAAACTGACTATCGATATCGGCCTGCGGCTTGTCGACTTCTTCAATGAAGTTTGACTTGGCGTCATCCTTCTTCGTCTCAGCGACAGGTAGCGAATCACCCTTGTCGGAACCTTTGGTACCCCAGGAAACGTCATGCCAGTTGCAGAAAGCGTAGACCATCAGAATATTGATCGAACAGGTCATGCCAGCAAAGTACGCCCAGGAGGACGTGAACATATGCCAGGGATCCATGTACAAGAAACTTGCGAGGAAGTAAATACCATAAGTCGAAACCAAAGCGATCAGGACAATACCCGCGCCAGAAGAACTGAAGAAAGACTGGAGGAAGTGGCCAACACCTTTGTCTAGAGAGAAATCAAGAGTACCTCCAGTGAAGGCGTTCTTGACAAGGTAGAAGGAAAGGACAATGATGTAGGTTTGAAGGATACTGAAGTAGATGAACGAAAGCGTGTATGCGAGACGCGAACTGTTTAAAAGGTCAGATTGACACTGAGGTAATTCCTTCGGATCTTGACTTACCCTTTCGGTCGATTTCCTAGCGCCAGGATGAATTGTAGCATCAAGAAGAAAATGTATCCATACTTCAGGAAGTTGTTCACGATTGGCGAGGCCTCATTGCCAAAAGGCCATCCCTTATTCTTGTTGGCCGCACTAGGAGTTCCGACAAGATCCATGATGACAGTAGTAGTCAGCCAGAACGAGGCTAGGTAGTCACGAGTTAGTATAAAACCCGCCAAAGAACACGAGATTCGAGACATACCGAGAGAGAACCAGGTCATGACAAGACCCATGAAGTTGTATGTCATCTGGATATGCAGGAAAAACAGTCGTAGAATGTTGTGGCCACTCTTATAAATCCGGCCGAAATGCATCATTGCATATAAACTGGCGGCGAACGAACCGTTCAACCAACGACGTCGCTGACTGATAAACTCGGCTGCGCCCTCTGGCACATCGGTCTCGCCCTTTGAAGCCTTCACGTAGGTTAGATGCCATTTGAATCCAGCCTTTGCCACAAGCTCGAAACACAAGATACGATCCTCAGCAAGGAACATATTCTTTTTAAAGATGTTCATGCCCTCGATACCCTTCTTGCCTAACTGCTTTGAGAGTGTATGATCACCGTGGAAGTACTGCTCTAAGGGTCGACCCATAATAGCGCGATAGCGGTACGCGGAGAAGGCGCCCGGTAACACACTAACGTACCCGAAGGCACTTTCTAGCGGTTTGTCAAGAATGTTGGAGATCTTATACTCGAAATTTTGTGCGGCGACGAGGGGATTCATCAAGTTCTTCCACCCTTTTCCTAACATTGCGTGAATCTCACCGCAAGATCCACCCAAGTTCTTATCATTGTAGAAGGACTCCCACAATGCAAGGAGTGATTTCTTTCCCGGCTTAGTTCCGGCATCAATAAGAATCACGACTTCGGGATTGAGGATTCGACTGAAACCGTTGAAAAGCCAGCGGTGGGAGTTAATCTTCTTACTGTTCTTCTGCTTTAGGCAGAAAATCATTTGAACAGGAGGAAGGTTTGACGACTCGTTGCCCTGGGGCCGGATCAATTGTTGGTTGGATGTGACAGAGAGTTGGGTGGTGTATTCGAACTAGGTCTTGTTAGTGGATTTTCGTCGACTATAAACAAAATAACGGGATGGAGAGATAGTAGAATCTGCCGAGGCGAATCAAGAGGACTGTGGGAACTCACAATGTGTGCAACGGTTTCCCGACCATCGACGGAGCGCTTCATGATGCCATCTTGGTAGATACCAACTGTGGCCAACAAGTCGAGGGTATTTTTGTCGCAAGGATCAATACCATCAAAAACCAAGGAGCAGACGATCTTTTGCCAGGCCGGGCCACCTTTGTTCCAAAATTCTGACTTTTTCAAATTGACGATATCCCGAATGTTTTGCATGACACCGTGGAGCGTCCGCGCGGTCAGAACTTTATCTTCGTTGTAGTAGGTGATGGCAATCAGAAGCTCGGTGTGTCGGTTGTACATAGCCGGTCGGAGATTGTATCCGTTGCGTAGGGTGAACTCGTCAGGATCACAGGTGGCCGCAGTATCTGTATGCGATTAGCTCCAGTCGCATCACCAATATTCCACATGAATACTTACAACGCAGATGCGTGAATTCTTCTGGGAAACCCTCCTCCGATTCCCGGTACTCCTTCTGAATCGCGTTCTGAATGGCACTCGGGACAGGGTAGTCGACACTGAGCACAGAGCCCTGGACCAACTTAATCTTTCGCGTAGCATAACGCCGAAGCCCTGACCCAGGTGCCTGTCGGTTCTGCCAGGCTTCTGACGGAGTCTCTGACATGGGTGATTGAATACCCGAGCGACGGTTGAGTCCTCCCGCGGACTCCTGGTATGGACCATCCGGGAAGATAGTGACTCCGGGGTCTTGTAGTGTGTAGCGACGGAGGGAATCGGTCGAGGCATATGGGTCATCGAAGGAAGCGTTGAATGGGCTGGGCTGATTTCGGTAGAGCAAAGACTGCTGGCTGTCGATGTTCTCGGGTTTCTCCTCGTAGGCGTACGCTTGCTGCTGCAAACTGTATTAGCATCCGCTGCTTTCTTGATGGGTCTCTCCTGTTTTTCCGTTCCGACTAGCTTGTCACTCACCTCTCGTGGTCCATACACGCTAGCCTCGCTCGCCTGGGGTGAATGAGATGAATTGCCCGAATGAGGCGAATGAGGCGATGTGCCTCTCTGGGGAAAAGACATGATGCGTGGTTCGCGTGTTCTCCGGCTCTAGTGGAAAGAGAATAGAGGTCTAGCCGGGGGGTGGTATCTCAAGAATCGAAAGAAAATATCAAAGTTAGAAGTTTCAATTCCAGGTACAATCCGACGCCTCAATGGCAACAGCGCAACCTCGCAGCAATGATCTCGTGAGGTAGGTTGAAAGCAAGGCAGGCGACCTGTCTAGAGATCAAACCTATGAAACAATATGAGACCTAAGTAGAAGAGAGGGGAGGGTTGACGTTCAAAGAAGACATGTGCGCAGGGGAAGGGCTCCAGATGCCATCTATCCAGGAGATATTTTTGGTGCAGAATTTGATTGGAGGTGCCGACGATGCGGGCTGTGAAAGGGCGACTGAGGTGGAACCCCAGCGCATCAGCAATTGTTGTTCGTCATCCACCCTTTCTGAGGATCCACCATGGGGCAGTCCGAGACAGGCCATACATATTGGGCATTGGCAACCGCTTTCCCCCTGCGCATGTATCGCATAACGATTGGGGGCTGAAAGACCACCACCAACCACCAAATGATATTCCCCGTGATCATAATTATCTCGATATCCAAGGTACAACATATACTCCTGTACGGGTATGAATTTGACTGATCCGAGCCTTGCTGCGACGGACATAATTCGTCGAACATGTAAAAAGCTGCGGGTCAACGACGCAATGCGCCATAACATTGGTCAACAGTGTCTCCTATGACCCATCACAGGCTCCCCCAATTAATATTTGTGTACACATCCCTTTTACCATCCGAAACACCCCCTGAGGGACTAATAGTGAATCACTGTACGGAGTACGGAGCACTCCTCCATGCTCATAAGGACTGCAAAGGCCTCTGCCAAGCAATCACAGCGTGGGCTGGGGGTGGCGACTGCCGGGGATGACGACAAGGCGTCAGGAAACGATCGGCCGCGTATTCTAGGGGGCTGAATTCTGAATCTGCGACTGGCTCACGAGGGTCCACATATCCAGCCATTATAAATTGGGTATGTGGGGAGTAAAAAAACAGAAAAGAAAAAAAGAATAGCGCTACCACAGCAACAGAGACACATGCCGTGTGAATAGTGTGTATCATGTGCCTAAGTGTCACGTGCTCCTAGATATACGTGTACACAACTATTATTATTATTATTATGTACCCTTGCATCGGTGTACTTTGTAAGTACAACACACCTTGGGAATATAAATGTAGGTGCCTTGACTGACATTTATTTTTAGATCTTACATAGGTAGAACTCTGCAGTAAAAGTTGAAGTTGTCAAATTCCCAATGGATAGAAATATATATTCCCATATGTCTAAGACCATAAGTCTCTCATTTCTTTTAACTATGCGGTGTAGTATCTTATTCTCCGTTTCAAATTGATTTGACGGAAATCTATCGTTTCTCTGTTACGAAAGTACTATTGTTTCTGCTGACTTTCTCTAATTATTCTAGTATTCTATCATTCGACCTATCCGCCCTCACCCGAAACTCGGACTTCATTGCGAGCACAGCTTCAAGAAAAATAAAGAATACCCCAAGAACTTAACTAACAAGTCTAGTGCCGAGGGGCTGATATTGACATCTAAACACGCTAAATCCCTTCTAATCAACAGTATGGGACCTTCATCATTTATGTACCCCGTAACATCAGATGAGTTAGTACCGGGATTTTAGGCCTTGCCCGAGGTCGTTTGATATGGCAATGCCGGAACAATATGCGGGGTAAATAATCTGGTTTACAATCACAGGGCTTTAAATTCTACGATGTTCTCAATTTGATTAAAGGCGAGTTATTCCCTCCCAACTTTTGCATAACAATGTCGCCTCAGAGACCTGCATTTGATGATCTGCCTTTGCGTAAAGATGGACCTCCAGGGAATGCTTGGGGGATGTTTGGGGATCAAGATCAGATGGGCATGCTCAATCTATTGACGCCAGAGAACACCGCCGCGGCTGCTCGCGAAATTGTTGATGGCGTGCGGGTCTCAACAGATTGGGCTCTCAATAGCATGGCGACCCCCTGTTTTGGACGATCTGCTTTTGAGCATATTATCAAGAACAAGCCCCCCCGGGCAGTCAACGATGATGTCTTGGTTTTTAACACACAGAGTAGTAGCCAATGGGATGGCTTCAGACATTATGGATCAAAGCAAGGAACTTACTTCAATGGATGTACCCAGGACGACATCCAGAATTCCACTCGAAATGGCATTCACGGTAATTCCCTTTTCTTTTGAAACTTCTGATTTTCACTCATCCTTCCCCAGTATGGGTCGAAAACGGCGGTATTGTTGGACGGGGCGTTCTCTTGGACTATGCGGGCTGGGCAGCAGCGAACGGGAAAGAAGTGAATTGCTTTGAAACCCAGTCAATCCCGGCTTCTGTACTCCAAGAGGTTGCTGCTAGTCAAAATTCCACATTCCGACAGGGAGATATCTTGTTTATTCGTACGGGTTGGACTCGAGCGTACGAACAGCTGTCCCAGGCGCAATGTCAGCAACTGGCCGACTATGCAGCACCTCCAGTGATTGGGGTAGAATCGTCCGAGGCCATGCTGCGCTGGATTTGGGATCTTGAACTGGCCGCCGTGGTGGGAGATATGCCGAGCTTTGAAGCATATCCATGCCAGAATCAGGTTTTCTTCCTTCATGAGTGGTTGCTGGCGGGCTGGGGCGTCCCAATCGGCGAACTATTCGATCTCGAGCAGCTCAGCCAGGAGTGCCACAAGAGAGGCCGTTGGACCTTTTTCTTTAGCAGCGTGCCATTGAAGGTGTGTGTAGAAAAATTGCACTTTTCCTGTTCCCAACTGACCACATTATCAGGTTCCTGGTGGTGTTGCAAGCCCCCCGAATGGCGTGGCTATATTTTGATCACAAGTTCTTTCGTCTTTGCCTCTTGTCGTTCTTGATCATATTCTACAGTCCAACTCTCTGGAGATAGCGCAGAATGCAAGTGGGGGTTGGCGTTTATAGGCAATAAGCCCCTCCAAAGAAGCTTGAACAGTCCTGGACTTACCAGAACGCACCATTTTTTTTAAAAAAAAACCTAGAAACCTAGGTATCCATGGATAACGACACAAACCAAGTAATATAGGCAATTGCCTTCCATCATCGTACCATGTAGCCCTGGGGAGGTCGGGCCGAAGAGATAAGTGAAAAAGCGGAGAATCCGGGGCTTTCCGTCCCGGTCTGAGTTGTGTCATTCTACAACGTTTCACCAGTCTATGCAGATCTAACAGATCTAAACAGTTCTAAGATCTAGCCTCCAAAAAAAAAATATGGTCCTTGGAAATGCAGGCATCTCACGTCAGGCAGAAGATCGCTCAAAAAGGTCGATGGTAGCCTGTAACCGCTGCCGTTCTAGAAAAACTCGCTGCGCCGGCAATCCACCCCACCCTTGTGCAGCATGCGTGGATGTGGGCAAGCATTGTGTATATTCAGAGGCTGAAAAGCGAGTCTCCATAACGGAAAGGTGAACTCGGTTCAAGATCGATGAAAAGAGTCAATGCTGACTTCTCTCATTGCAGCTACTATCGTCAACTACAATCGCAAGCTCCTGGGTCGCGAGGTAGGTTTCATACCTACCTAGGTAGTTATCTGGACGCAATTTAACCACCCAGGATAGAAGGTAGCCATGCAACACCGTCAAGTGAGCCATCAATATCCAATCGCTACTCTGATGAGGGGCCACCAGAACGCGACGACTGGTGGTACAAAGGGACGGACAATCTGTTCTTGAATCGATCGGGAGAACATCGTACGTGTTAAGCTGGAAGATAATACATTTTTCTCATATCTTTTTACTAATCTTTCCTCAGATTTCGTGGGTGCTTCATCCACCACACATCTCGCGAAACGGCTCAACCCTGGCTCCACAAACCTTGCATGGGATGTGCGCCCACTTTACGATGACCCTTCATCATTGAGAAGACCAGTTGGCGGCTCATTACCTCAATTACCACCTTTTGAATTTGCCAAGCGACTATTCTGGGTACAATACGCTTACATCGGTACCATCTTTTCCCTTATCAAACCCTTGGAGTTTGAAGAACGGCTCGATCTAGTCTATCACCAACCACTTGACTTTTCACATCGTGAATCTTGCCTAGTATACTGTCAGACACTGTTAGTTATTTCCTTTGGCTTGATGTATAGCGTGAATCAGTGGATTGGCGAGGAAGGTCCTCCCGGCTTCAAGTATTTCAAGCATGCATTACGTTTCTTGCCAGATATTCATGAAGAGGGCTCGATTCTTTTCGTTGAGGTGCTATGCTATGTCGCATACTATATGCAGAATCTGAACAGGCGGGACGCTGCCTTCCTCTACGTACGTATTACTTCCATTAGCCTTCTGTTGTTCCGCTAACGACGTCAGATCGGACTTGCTCTGCGCATGGCTATCTCCCTAGGCCTACATCAAGAGGTGTCTGATCCCTCAATAAGTGAATCAGATCGCAACCGTCGACGTCGGGCTTGGTGGTCCGTCTACAGCTTGGACCGGTAATTTGGCCAATTCTCTTGAACTTCTGAAAACAATACTCATATTTATGGACAGGCTACTCTCGGTCAAGTCTGGTAATCCTATTACAATTCACGATGAAGACATTGGGATAACTTGGCCCACAGCTGTGGTGTGTTGCCTTCCATGGAATGTCTTAAGTATTCGCTGATTTGATTCTTGTTCGATCTAGGGAGGATCAAGCTTTGATCCATGGCCATCAACCGTTCTTACCCATTATACACAACTATCCCGTATATTGGGACGGATTGGGGAAGGTAAAACCCCTCCTTATTTTTTTGGTCGTACTGCCAAGCTGACCTAGAGGGCCACACCAGAAATCTACAGGAAGAAACCTGGATCCGGATCTAACCTCGTTGCTTCTGTCCAGAGTATCACAAATGACCTGTCTGGCTGGCTGCGACAAGTACCAGACCGGCTCCGCATTGATTTCACCACACTAGATACCCATATCAATCGAGAGTCTGTCTCAATCAACTTACACTTCTACTCATGTGTGAACATGACTGCGCGCCCGTTGGTCTTCTATGTCATCCAACGGCGACTTGACGCGGAAGCCCTTGGATCTGCAACAGACGATTGGAAAGAAGGGCTGGCTCCCAATACTGTCGCCGTCATTGACAGCTGCATCACGGCAGCGCGAGCAACCACTGTGATCATGGATGCAGCTGCAAAACATAATCTCATTGGTAGGCGATCGCAAGACAACCCCATTGCTTCTGCCATGAAACCATCTGATTAAACGAACCTTTTTAGCTACATATGGATACCTCGATGGCGAGTATATCTTCTCTGCTGCATTGCTGCTGGTCATGGTGAATGCCGCGTTTCCGCCTAATGAAACCAGCGCCCGGGCCATGGAGACCGCACTGAACCTTCTTCGCGGTATGGCAGACCGGGGGAATACATATTTGGACTCACGCCACTCTTTGCTGTTGGAATTACGAGCGGCCATTGGACCTAGACCTGCCGAAGAAAAGAATACCGATGAGGCAAGTTCTCTTGCTGCAGGTCAAAAGGGCCCTGTGACGCCGATGACCGAAAACGGCGCAAATCCATCAGACGATGTTCCAGATCCGAGTGCAGAGTTAGCAGCTTCACAAGTCCTCACTTATAACTGGCCACAGCAGCCAGATCTCCCTTCTTTCCGGGATATTGCCTTCCAGTTCGATCTAAACGATGATCCAGCACTCTGGGAAGGGGCTTTGGATCAAATCGATATTGACATGGACACTGACTGGATTGAGAATACTTTAAAGCGATAAGAACAAATAAATCTCACTCAAGAATCATTTCACATTTGTATTGTGTGCTTAATGCTTAGTATCGAGTATTTATGTAGCTTCTAACTAGCTTATACATACTACACATGTCCGGTATGGGCATAAATTGATGCCTGAGGCCAACATACATCAGTTGGATGGATTTCTCCGCAAAACGCTATTATTATTCTTATCTTATTATTATTATTATTATTAGATCACACATGAGCCCCCGGAGTCCTATCTTCCCCTCCATCCTCAATCCCCCGCCGCTTATCAAGCTGTGGAGGTGTCGGACCGAGGAAGCCGAAACAGGAGCCATCGGCCCGACACGTGACATGCATCTAATGGGTAACAGCACGATGATCATTGGAGATGTGCTGGGATATCGGGACGAGCTCTGTGACATAAATGAATACGGTTCCCTTCTGACCTTCTTTATCTGTTGTTCTCTCCTTTCTTTTCTTGAACCCACCTCACATCTTCCCAACTTATACTAGTCGCAATGTCTGATTCAGGGAAGATTACCATCTCTATCGATCGTGGCGGCACATTTACTGATGTCCACGCGATTCAACCTGGCCGTCCCGACATTATCTTGAAGCTTCTCTCTGTCGATCCTTCTCACTATCAAGATGCCCCGACTGAGGGCATTCGTCAAATTTTAGAGCTGGCCACCGGGGAGCCACATCCCCGAGGCCAACCATTGAAACTCGACCGCATTGGTTGCCTACGCATGGGCACAACCGTTGCAACCAATGCCTTGCTCGAGCGCAAGGGCGCTCGCTCAGTACTCTTCACAACCAAAGGGTTTCGAGATTTATTAAAAATTGGCGACCAATCTCGCCCGGCCATTTTTGACCTATCAATGGCTCGCCCCGGAGTACTCCCGGAAAGTGTCGTCGAAGTCAACGAACGTGTGCTGTCTTGCCATCCTTCTGCCGACAGCGATTGCTTCTCCGATTGCCGGGTGGTAGAGGGAATCACCGGCGAGAAATTCCGTATCGTGCAAGAACTAGACCTCGTTGAGGTGAAGGCAGAGCTCCAACGACTGAAGGAGCAAGGAATTCTGTCAATATCTGTGGCGCTATTGCATTCCTACGCATATCCTGAACACGAGCGTCAAATTGGCGAGCTCGCTCAAGAGATGGGATTCTCGGTTACTCTCTCTTCAAAACTTCAACCCATGATCAAGATCGTGCCTCGTGGCATGTCAGCCGCAGCCGATGCCTACCTTACACCCGTTATTAAGACATACATTGACTCCATCTCTTCCAGCTTTGAAGGTGGGTTGGAGAGTCAGCAGGACTGCCGATTTGAGTTCATGCAATCAGATGGTGGACTGGTCGATTTCCGCAAATTCAGCGGGCTAAAAGCGATTTTGTCCGGCCCCGCAGCTGGCGTGGTCGGCTTTGCAGCCACCAGCTGGGATCCCACCGAGAAGACTCCCGTCATTGGTTTCGACATGGGTGGCACCAGCACAGATGTCTCCAGATTTGATGGCCACCTTGAGCATGTATTTGCATCCAAGGTTGCAGGCGTGATGATCCAATCCCCTCAGCTTGATATCAACACTGTCGCTGCTGGCGGTGGTTCCATTCTCACTTGGCGTAATGGCTTGTTCTATGTCGGGCCTGAGTCTGCAAGTGCTCATCCTGGTCCGGCATGCTACCGAAAGGGGGGCCCCTCACAGTGACAGACGCCAATCTGTTCCTGGGCCGCCTTCTGCCGGAATACTTCCCGAAGATCTTCGGCCCGAATGAGAACGAAGCTCTGGACACAGAGACGACTGCACGCCTTTTCAACGAACTCACACAAAAGATCAACATTGAACGCCGACAGCAAGGCCAGTCAGAGTTTTCCCCAGAGGAAGTCGCACTTGGCTTCCTCAATGTCGCAGATGAGTCTATGTCCCGGCCAATCCGTAACCTCACAGAAGCTCGCGGCTTTGAGACTGCATCTCATCATTTGGCATGCTTTGGAGGTGCTGGTGGCCAGCACGCATGCTCAGTGGCCAAAACGCTCGGAATCTCTCGCATCATCATTCACAAGTATTCTTCCGTTCTGTCAGCATACGGCCTTGCTCTAGCAGAAGTTGTCAAGGAGTCACAAGAACCGGTTTCGTCAGTCTATCTATCTTCACAATCTGCGCTTCTTCGACACCTCGATGACTTGTCAGCATCAGCAACCAAGGATATGGAATCCCAAGGTTTCCCTTCCACTCAAGTGCGCCATGAGCAATACTTGAACATGCGCTACGAAGGTTCCGACACCAGTCTAATGATCCTAAAGCCCGAGAGCTCGGCAGACTTCCTAGAAGAATTCCGCATTCGTCATCGCCGCGAATTCAACTTCAACTCTGACCGACCTGTCCTTGTTGACGACGTTCGGGTGCGAACTATCGCCTCATCCAAGGTGCGGTCCGAGCAAAGTCCCTTGGTCCAACTGAAGGAAGCCAATATGCAAGATGTCGCGACGGCTCCGAACAACACTACTTCAGCCTACTTTGGCCAGTCGAGTCGGGTCGATACACCAGTTTACCTTCTAGGTGAATTGGAGAAGAATTCCCGCATTTATGGCCCGGCTGTCATCATTGATCAAACTCAAACAATTGTCGTGGCTCCCAACGCAGTGGCGAACCTGCTCGACACCTGCATTGTCATCGATCTCAGCGATGGACCAACCTCTTCCGGAAGCGCCCTGTCATCGGAAATTGACCCCATCAGGCTTACTATCTTTGGACATCGGTTCATGTCCATCGCTGAGCAGATGGGTCGTACGCTACAGAAGACCTCCGTTTCAACTAACATCAAGGAGCGGCTGGATTTCTCTTGCGCTCTATTCTCTCCCGATGGAGGCTTGGTGGCCAATGCACCCCATGTTCCGGTTCATCTTGGATCCATGCAATTTGCTGTGCGTTATCAGCATGAGAAGTGGCTAGGCAACTTGAAGGATGGTGATGTTCTGGTGGCCAACCACCCCAGTTGCGGAGGCACCCATCTGCCCGATATTACCGTAAGTCATCTTCCCATTGAACACTCTCATCAAATACTGATATGTCCATAGGTCATTACACCGGTCTTTGACCGACCTGGTGGCTCCGAGATCATGTTTTACGTGGCTTCCCGTGGCCATCACGCTGATATTGGTGGTATCTTACCTGGATCAATGCCTCCCAAATCCACCGAGCTGTGGCAAGAAGGCGCCGCCATCGAAGGCGATAAGATTGTCAGTGATGGTATCTTGGATGAGGCACGTTTGATCGAGTTGCTGGTCACAAAGCCCTCGCAATACCCCGGCTGCGCTGGAGCACGCTGCATCAGTGACAACTTGTCCGATCTGAAGGCACAGATTGCCGCCAACACTCGTGGAATCAGCCTGATCCAAACTCTGTTCAATGAATATGGAACCCAGACCGTGCAAAAGTACATGTACGCCATCCAGGCAACCGCCGAGTCTGCTGTGCGCAATCTTCTCAAGGAGCTATATCAGAAGTTCAATGGCCAGCCATTAGAGTCAGTCGACTACATGGATGATGGCACCCCCATTCGATTGAAAGTCACCATCGATGGTACCGATGGATCAGCTGTCTTCGACTTCGAGGGCACAGGCCCTGAGGTGTATGGCAGCTGGAACGCCCCCATTGCCATTACTCACTCAGCCATCATCTACTGTCTGCGCTGCATGATCAATGCAGATGTGCCACTGAACCAGGGATGCTTGGCGCCAATTGACATTCGCGTCCCATCGTCCAGCATTTTGTCGCCGAGCAAGACTGCTGCTGTCGTTGGTGGCAATGTTGTGACCTCACAGCGCATCACAGACGTCGTGTTCAAAGCCTTCCAGGCTTGTGCCGCGTCTCAGGGCTGCTGTAACAACCTGACCTTCGGCACAGACGCCAAGCTTGATCCTTCCACTGGTGCTGTCATCAAGCCTGGATTTGGATATTACGAGACTATCGCTGGCGGCAGTGGTGCTGGCCCAACTTGGAAGGGCGAGTCTGGTATACATGTTCACATGACCAACACGCGGATCACCGATCCCGAAATCCTGGAAAAGCGTTATCCGACGATGCTCCGCCAGTTCACTCTACGCGAGGGCTCTGGTGGCCAGGGCAAGAACCCCGGTGGCGAGGGAGTGATCCGCGAAATTGAATTCCTTTCACCAATTCAATGTTCGATTCTGTCTGAGCGCCGTGTCCATCGGCCTTACGGACTCGAAGGTGGCCAGGATGCACAGACTGGATTCAATCTGTGGATCACGCGGGATCCGGACACTGGCAATGAGCGCCGTATCAACATCGGCGGCAAAAACACTGTCTCGATGAAGACACACGACCGGGTTGTGATCAACACTCCCGGCGGTGGTGGCTGGGGGGCTGTATGAATGGGTTTATAGCGAGCATGACATTTCTAGTATACCAATCTCAATTAAATACATAGGTAGAGATACAATGGTCATTTTTTGGCCTTATGAATAAATTCATAAAATTCTTCTTTCACAACTTGGACTTTCCAAATACTGGTCGCCACATTTCATTCACTAGTCGGCTGGTATTTACCATATCTGGCCCCAGTTGGTCTAGGGAAGAGACTCCAAGCATCTTCATGGTGATCTCAAGTTCTTCGGCGATAACTGCAAATGTGTTAGCTTGGAATTGACTTGAATACTAGTCCCAACTTACTGTCTGTACACCTTTCCACTCCTTCAGCGCCGTATGCCGCGAGGGCATAGTAGTAAGGCCGGCCCACTCCAACAGCGGTCGCTCCGAGACACAACGCCTTCAGCACATCTGCTCCGTCGCGAAGACCTCCATCAACAAACACCTGGAGCTTGTCGAAGGCCTCCGGGTAGTACGTGCGAATCTCCAGGAGCGTCATCAATGAACTTGGGGCGGAATGAATCTGCCTGCCTCCATGGTTGCTCAATAGAATTCCGTGTACACCATGTTGGACAGCCAGCTTCACGTCCTCTACACTTTGAATCCCCTTGAGAACCAGTGGCCCATTCCACTCTGACGAAATCCAGTCCAAATCCTCCCAAGTAAGACCACCATCTACCGAACCGGGAACCTGACGACCCCCGAACGCTGGCGCAAAGTCGTTCTCGCCGTGAATGTCTCTTTTGTTTTCGGCCAAACCAGCGTCGAGATTTTCTTGTGCTTGGAGGTAACGATCGGCAGTACGCTTTCCTAGCGTTGAGGTGTCCACTGTCACCCACAGACTTTGATATCCGGCTGCCTTGACTCTTTGAATGAGTAACTTGGCTCTTGTCCGATCTACAGGCACGTAGAACTGGAATGACAAGTTGGAAGGGCTTTGATTGCCAAGTAGCCGTTGCTCGTCCAGATGAGCATCCATGATCTCCTCGAGCGGCTTCGTAGATGCTGTACTGATCATGGTGTGCATACCTTTGCGAGTCGCTCCTCTCACCAGCAAGGGTTCAGCGCCTGGGTGTGAGCTGCCCAGTGTACCCATAGCCGATACGAAGAAGGGGAACTGAGAGATATGTCCCAAGATGTTCCTTCGGGTGTCCATTGAATCAACATTCCTCAAGATCCGGGGGCGAAAGTTGATCAGAGACCAGTCATCGAGATTGGTCCTCATTGACAGGCCTGTAGCAGCTGAGCTTGATGCATAAACCCATGACTTCTCCGGCAGGATATTCTTTGCGACCTGCTCAAAGTCTGTCGTGGTGACACATAGAGAAGAATGGGGAATGTTGTTGTTTGCCATCATAGTTATTGTTATAGCTTAGGATATGAAGCAGAAAAAGAAAAAAAGGGAACAAGGAACCAGGAATATGGAGGTTAATAAAGTATAGAAGATCAGATAACGGCCCCGAAGCCGGCCCCGATCGGCTACTCATTCCGGCCCGGCTATGTCCATTTGGGGTAAAAGCGATTGCCGAATTGTTATAGTTCTTGAATAGTTATGTACATGTAGACATATATAGTTATGTATTGTTCCAGTTTCCGTATAGTTATCTCTTTTTGTCTACCTTTATGTATCGGAAATGAGGTCCCGTTTTATCGAGGACTAACAGCAGAGGTCTGTACCAGCCTTTCAAAATCTGTTTCAATGTGAGCTTATATACTCAAAATAGTTGAAAGGAGCTCATATTCATACGGCAGCATTCTCTTCTGGGCATCTAATGAGGGATATGGAGGTGTACGGGCAGTTGTAGTCGCGCCTTTTATTGGTGTAGATCCGGACATGGTCAAAGTGGTGGGCCGCTGTGCACCCTAAAAGACATGTTAGACTATAGTAGAAATGAATGCTTAGATTCCTAGTCATACCTTTCGGTACTACAATAAGGAGTCAGTGGGATCGACATTGAATATAACCTTGGACAACAGAGACTTACTTCCTGGCCACCATAGGGCACGGCAATCACTGTTCCCATGAACAGCGTACAGATCAATTGCAGACGCATAGTAGAGAAGAGGATGGTCAGAGTTTTGAAATTTAAGCTTGCAGATCACTTTCGCAAGTCTGGGTTGAGGTGGATGAAACCGCTCAACTGAATGAAGGATAACAACCGTGAAAAGGATGCGCGGAAGGCGAAATGCCTTCAATTAATTCAATCTCACGTCAATATTGTGATTAACTTTCAGTTTCAACATTAGTGGACGAACCCAAATGAAATTGATATGTCAGAGAATATGGTGGTGGTAAGGAGGTAGTGAATCACAAGCTTGACTCTGGGTCATAGAAGGTCGGAAAACAAGCTTCGTTGTCTATGTAGTTATAAACTACATGTACATATGTACCTCCCTATCTTTTGACGTCTGCAGTCAGAAATCTGACGTCAATGGAATGTGAAAAGCATGGCTTTTCCATGTTTAGTGACACCTGCATTCCATCTGCTACCTCTTATATCCCTTGATTGACATTCCAGTTCGTGAACTTCCACGGGAATTTTCCGCTTGCATCTTCCTATGAAGAAACCAGCAAGCTAATTAAAGTAAGAAAAAGCAGATCTCTTATAGGGCCTAATATAGAACAGCATCTGATGGGTATTTGAGAATAGCTACATCATCTATCCTCTTTTTCCCCTTTGATTCTTATCAACTAATGGTTGAGATTCCGTATAAAATTCCCTTTCTACATTGTAGAAACTTCCATTATACGTGGTTTCAGATTGTGTGGGACCCCATAGACATGACAAGATTATCCTAAGTGCCAAATAAATTGCTTCTTCTGGTTGCTAAATCCCTTTCTAGGCAGAAAGACATTTCTGCTCTGGTACGAATCAGCTAGAGGTTATATCATCTTTTACACGCATTTTTATATCAGTTCAATGCTCGGTATCATCAAAGTTCTGTTCTATCCACAGCCACAAACGGAAACACGTCTCTTAGTTATCAAAAAATCCCTACATGTCGGTACTAATATCGCATCCTTTAAGCCACAGTTCAACGATGCCCTTTTAGGCTACGAGCGCGAAACACGGCAAAATCCACTTCTCCAAGCTGCTCAAAATGACCACATAGAGACTGTAGAGATATTATTTCCGAGAGTCGACCAAGCCGTATATATATGCCATCATAGCTACACACTGCTAGCTGATGGAGTTCGTCCAGATTATCAAGCCCAGCTTGCCATCAAGATAAAGTTTTCGGAAACCGTTGCTATTCTGGAACATCTCTCTTATGAGAACATCCCGGAGAAAATGACCCTCGAAAACTGTTTCTAAGCGAGAGGAGAAACGGCTTGTAGATCTTGATTTCCAGCCGCTGACTATCCTGAGGAGCACGATCCTGATCATGAGGTGATTGTTTGTTCGGCTATTGACGATGAGATACATCTCGATTATGTTGGCTTTAATGTGTATCTTGATGATGCTAATTATACTATGTATTCTGAGTGATAATGTAATGGCTGAATCCATCTAAATCATGTTTCTTGAGGGAATTGCGCCGTGTGAGGTAGTATGAATCAAGTAGGATTCTAATTTACTGCCAACTTGGTAAATTTAGAATATAGCCCCTTATATGCTATAAATATGTTATAGTTATGCATATGTACATGGATGTTGTTATATACATGCTGTTTATCTAGGCCTCCTGGGCCAGGGTGGGGGTGTTAGTAAGCATCACATGCCATCATGGTGGACCTGCAGCTGCCCCAGGCTGTCTTGGTTCTTTCAACTTTTTACTCTCTTCGCTTTTTTATTTCGCTACTTTCATTGCGAGTCTCAATATGTTTGTCGCGATACCCGGTTGACCAGCCATAAGGCTCCTTTTCTATTTCGATTTTGCTTCATTCTCTGCAAACCTCGGAGACGGCGTTAACACTGCGTCTTCCCCCGCGACCCCAAAAAAAAACAAGTGACGAGGGGTCTAAGGACACATATTGGCCTCCATGACAAAATCACCACCTATTGTGTTTATTGCCAGGTGAGTATTTACTTCTGTTGCACTGCTTCCACTGCTCACTAGCCTTCTAGACATGGCGCCCGCCTCGATGCTGCAGACAAAGATTGGCACTTAACCTCTCCAAACCCTTTCGACCCACCTCTTTCCTACGGTGGATGGATACAGTCTCGGGCACTTGGTGTACGTATAGGAAGTCTCCTAAGGGACCGACAGTTCACTGGGGAAGATCCAGAGAGTCACAGCCATCATCCGACCTCGGATAAACAGGCAAAACCCACCCCCGCATCTTCAGACCTGTCCCACCGATATAACGTCATTGTTCATACCTCTCCTTACCTTCGATGTCTGCAAACTGCAATAGGAGTTAGTGCTGGTATCCACCAACAAGCCTCGGGCACAGAAGCATCCGAAGCAACTAGTTCAGCTCCCACTGTCCCCACAGTTTCATCTACCACTGACCAGCGATGTCTGCTTCGCGTCGACGCATTTCTGGGCGAATGGCTATCACCCGACTACTATGACCAGATCACGCCCCCGCCGGGCTCGGACAGAATGGTGGCGTCTGCCAAAGGGGAGTTACTCCGTCGTGCCGAGGTCATCCCAACCACCGATGGTTTGACAAGGGCGTTTTCAGGCCACTTTCCTGGCGGTTGGCACAGCCAGTCACATCAGTCACAGCCTACTTCGCCGGATGATGAAGACCGCGGCTTGCATTCCGCAACATCCCAGCGCCAGCGTGCCAGCACCCATGACACTCTCCAGAACCCTATCCATCTCAAACATGCAAAAAAGTCCCTCGGTCGCCTAGAAACAGACCTGCCGCCTACCCTAGACGAATATTACGTACCACCAACTCCCAGCTACGCCGTTTCCACATCGGACCCCATTCCTACAGGCTATGTTGCTCATGCACGGAACGCATGTACGAGGATCGACTACCAGTGGGACAGTATGCGCACGCCTTATTGGGGCACAGGGGGCGAGTTCGGCGAGGAATGGAGTACCATGCACGAACGAGTGCAGGATGGATTTCAGCACATGATTAACTGGTACCGGGAACAGGATCTATCTGAACTCGGTTCTACAGCGGAGTCGAGCGAGGTAAACGACAATGCACAAACGGTCCTCGTTATTATCACACATGGCGCGGATTGCAATGCTTTAATCAGTTCATTGAATGGGCACTCGGTCTTACTCGATATTAACACAGCTTCACTCACTATGGCTGTGCGACGCAACCGTGTCAATAAACCTGCGCATGACATGGATCACACGCCTAAATCTCCGAGCCCTGACAACCAATCGGTGTCACGGGAATACTCCTTGCAGCTTGTGGCGTCGACAGATCATCTGCGCCCGGGAATAAACCCCTCACAACTCAGCTCGCTGTCATCTCCCTCCGTCCCCGTACTTTCACCGCCTCCGGTCCCTTCATATAGGAATCGTCTTGGCGCTCGTCCATCGCTCCTCCAAGAAACATTAGCAAACGGCCCACCTGATACCAGCCCTCGAGCATGGACGCTAGCGATGCGCCCGTCAACTAGTTCAACTATTTCTCAAGGGGCCTCTCAAGGGGCCTCTGGGCTTTGGAACTCAATCTCGTCGCCCACTGATAAAGTGGATACAGAGGACAACCTTGTGCCGAACTTCGGTGATCGGCCAGTCAGTAGTCAGGATTCGGCACCCTCTGATAGGTCTGATAGGTCTGCAGATCTTGGCTGGACGAAGCAGTTACCACAACGGACACTGTCGCAGCGAGGTTTATGGGGGAGTGCTCAGCCGTTGGGGGATCGTGAAGGTGGAAAGCGGCGATGGACGGTGGCGGAACAGAAGCTCTGAAACCATTCCCCTTATTGAATTTTAAGATACCTCTTGCATGGCGTTGTGGGCTTTTTTGATTTTTTATATTCAAATATTATGTTGTACTATGACGGACCCCCCGACCCTCAGGCACCTACCAGGCACCCAGGCACTAATGCCGCGGCTTCCCCCTCATGTTTGTCTCTCCGCCTCTTTACTCTCCTCTCCTCTCCTCATCCTTTCTCTCTCTCTCTCTCTCTCTCTCTCTTCCTTTCAAGTATCTCTTCATACATTTTAAATATCATTGGGACTTCCATGTCAAACATCGAAACAGACGGACTCTCCGTCACTCATTCCTCTGACCGAACTGGGTCTCCTGATCTACGGCTGATCCACTATAATGATGTCTACCATGTCGAGTATGCGCTTATCTCTCCCTTTCTCTCCCCGGCTTCATAAACTTCAACCTTGGGGTGATATTAAATTATCTTATATAGATCTGGTTCTGCAGAGCCTGTCGGCGGGGTGTCTCGGTTCCAATCCCTTGTAAATCACTACCGTTATCACCCACAGTTCACCGGGCAGCCCGATATCCTGACCTTCTTCTCCGGCGATGCTTTTAACCCGAGTATCGAAAGTACAATTACAAAGGGCAGGCATATGGTACCATTCCTCAACACAGTGGGCACCGATGTAGCGTGTGTGGGTGTGAGTATGGCAACCAGCTCCCTGCCAGGCATATGTACACCGCTAATCTAAGTATCTAGAATCATGATCTCGATTTTGGAGTCGTCCAATTCCGCCATTTGGCCAGCCAATGTCACTTTCCTTGGCTTTTGGCGAATGTTCTTGACCCGGCACTAGGAGAGGATACCCCAATAGCCGACTGCGGAAAGTCTCGCATGTTGACCTCATCCAATGGGCTCAAGATCGGCGTATTGGGTCTTGGAGAAAGAGAATGGTATGTGCTTCTAGAATGCATCTTCTGATGTTTTTAGTTCTTTGCTTACTCGTATCTACCTTAGGCTCGGCACAATAAACTCTCTTCCGCCTGATCTCATCTACAAATCTGCATCTCAAACAGCTCGGGTGCTTGCGAAACAGCTCCGAGATGAGGGAGCAGACCTCGTCATCGCTGTCACCCACCAACGTGAACCGAATGACTACAAACTGGCTAACAACCTGTCACCCGACCTTGTGGACATCATTCTCGGAGGTCATGATCACTTTTACGCCCATGCCGTTGTCAATGGAATCCATGTGATGCGGTCAGGGACCGACTTCAAACAGTTGAGTTACATCGAGGCTTTCCGCAAACGCGATGGTTTGCCTGGTTGGGACTTCAACATTATGCGACGAGATGTTGTTCGCTCAATTCCCGAAGATCCCGATACGGTGGCAATGGTGGCCCGGCTTACTTCCAGCCTCAAGGCCAAAATAGAGAAGCCAGTCGGATTTACAGTGAGCCCGCTCGATGGCCGGTTTTCTACTGTGCGGCAGCGTGAATCTAATTTAGGTAATTTTGTCTGCGACCTGATGCGCTTCTACTATGCGGCTGATTGTGCCATGATGGCGGGCGGCACAATTCGCGGCGATCAAATCTACCCACCAGGGATACTGAAGCTGAAAGATCTGCTGAACTGTTTCCCTTTCGAAGACCCTGTGGTATTGTTGCGCGTTCGTGGCCATGCATTGCTGGCTGCACTCGAGAATGGGGTTAGCCAGCTCCCCGCACTCGAGGGCCGATTCTCGCAAGTATCCAATATCAACTACGGGTTCAAACTGGACGCACCATCGGGGTCGCGCATTACATTTGCTCGTGTTGGCGGCGAGCCCATTGACTTGCAACGTGAATATCTTCTTGCCACACGCGGCTATATGGCCCGAGGAAAAGACGGGTTCACGTCATTACTTATCCAGGCGGAAGGAGGTGATGTGGAGGAGCTTGTGTCTGAGGAAAACGGTGTTCTCATCAGTACAATCCTACGGCAATATTTCCTAAGTCTCAAAGTACTCGGGAAATGGAACCGTTGGAGCGCCAGCTTAGGCCGACACTGGGGTTCTGTACATCGCAATCTGCACGGTGAAGGCTGGCTGAAGCCAGCGTCTCCCCAAAACGAGAAAAAAGCAGGCGACAGGCTGAACCCAAAGCCTCCTCTCCGACGGACAGGCCGGTCAACATACTACTATGGTCGATTTCCCGAAGAAGTCGCACAGGGCACCGACATTATCACCGGGGACGAGACGAATGGCAATGCCATGGACTCCGACTCAGATGAGGATCCAGACATCCTCACGTCCTCGCGACCAACCACAAATTACGTCACTCAGCCAGCGAAATCATCCGCCGAAGAGGAGTATCGTCTACGAATTGCGCGGCGAGTTGTCCGAAAGTGGATGCGGCATGCAGGTCTGCAGTGCAGAATGTTGAATACTATGGATGGCGAAGGGGAATTCACTCCGACCTGGACGTCAGGAATCTCTCCTCGATTGGAAGGACGCATTGTGGTAGAGTAGACGTGCTCCTCCGCTTTTCTTCTTTCAGATTTCTTCCCTTTCGGGCTCTTCTTCCGGGACCTTCTTCTTCCGGGGTTTATTTTGTTCTCGGGGATTTTCTTGTCCTCTTCAACTTATCATGTTTGCTGTTCTCTATTGCATCATGCATATGCACTGGATAGCCTGGCGTTTCTGGATGGACGGAATGCATCGATACCCTGAATATTTTCAAACTATCATATTCAATCGGCCTTCTTCTTGGGAATCTCTTTTTGCAGCAGATAGTCTCCTCCTCTCCAGGCCTTATAAACCCCGTAAAGACCACAAAATGGCCAGACGTCCCACAGTGCACGTTTGACCGATCCCTTCCACCCACTCTCGAACTCTCCCCGATGTGGACCAGGAAGATCAGATTCACGCACTTGGACCTTTTCATACAGGGATGGAAGATGCTGTGCATGGTATTTTGCCCGAAGAGAATCATAACCGGGCTTGTTATAGATGGACCAGAACTCGTCCTCTGTATAGTAAGTATGTGCATATAGCCATTTCTTTCCTCCAAGACTGTGGACCTTGTGTTCAAGTTGTCGATTTTGAGCCACGAAACCGGCCTCATCCGTGGTAGCGGCAGGCCCCCAGATTCCAAAATTGAGGAGTTGTGTCCTCTGTGCATCTACATTGACTCCCTTGCCGCCATCTGCAGGCTGTCCTTCCAACCCACCGGCACTTCCTGGTGGTAGTGGACAGAGCCAAAGCGGAAATTGGCCAAAGTTTTCAGGGCGGTCCAGCCAGTCTAGGAACTCGGCAGCAGTGGATATCGGTACGCCGACATCTTGGATGATGTATCGACGCGCAAGCCCGCTGACGTGTAGGGCGTGATACATCACCTGGGTGTGCATGAATCGGTTGAGAAGCCAGCGCGTAAGAAAGGTGAAGGGAACACAGAAGTAACGAAAAGCATAACGGGCAACCCAGAAACCACCTCGATCGTAACGGAAAAGGTAGTCAGTGAGAGGAATGTAGTCCACTGCATCTGGCATGCGAGGGGAACTCTCTCGGTCGGAGATGTTGGAGGTCTTGGATTGAGCAATTCGTTCGACGTGCAAATAGAACCAATCGTCTTGTCGGCGAGTAAAGTATCGAGGCTTTACTTCAGATCTTTGTTCAACTTGTTTTCCAGCACAAACGACAATCTTGTTCCGTGCATAGACGATTCCGTCCAGATATTCAGTGCTTGGATCAGCGCTAGCCTCTTCAAAGGCACGCACCGCGTCCTTCATATTGGAATTGACATAGTATTTCAGTTCCACCAATGGCTGTGACTTTTTCAATCGAATTTCCAATAGGGTGACCACTCCCAAGGTCCCGAAGGAAGATGCGGTGCCCCAGAACAAGTCTGAGTGTTTATCCGCCAGTTCCGATCCCGTCTCGACGCGGTCGTTGTATGCTTTCACCACCTGACCATCTGCCAGGACCATTTCAATCCAATTGACTGTATGATCGAAGAATCCCTCGCGGAAAGAGCTACTCTCCCCCGATGTCCCCGAGAATCCGCCCCCAACCGAGATGTTGGGGAATTCGACGACCACCAAAGGGACCAAACCGTGGGCCTTGGTGGCAGCCACCAGAGCATCCATAGAGACATTGGGCTCGACTATAGCTGTACATCGATTGATATCGACCTCGAGGACTCGGGTGAGAGGCTCTGTGCTGACCGTGTTGGAAAGAGATCGGTTGGAGGGCCGAGTACTGTTGGTGGCACCATGATATATACGAAACGGTTCCTGGCGACTGTGGAAGTCCGCTACCCGCGCAGAGATTTCCTGTACAGCTGCAGTATGATCCATTATAAATAATAATCAAAAAGAAAATATACGGAAAAGCCAGAAAATGTAAGATACAAGAGCAATGAGAACGGAATGAGGAGAATGAGGAGAAACAGGCACCAGCCCGAGGTCTCCGCATTTACAGTAACTAGTTATGTAGTTATGTACATAGTTTAGTACTCCGTACTCCCTAGAATTGTATGAAATCAAATTCAGAAACAATATCGGTATCATCAAACATGAAAATGAAAAAGAAAAAGAAAAATAGAAACAAAATAGAAACAAGCCTACTGAATGCCAACTGGGCGTGCTCCAGCAAGATTAACTACCCTACCACCTCCAGCTGCTCCAACTACTGCAGGCGCCCGAGGCTGTACCCAACCGGGAACACTGGAATCATGACTTTCACGTGCAGAGATGGTCTGCCAAACATTGGGGAATCCTGTGGGCAAGATGCCTTTGATCTTAGCACCAGGAACGGCGAATCGAGGCTCACGATGGAGAAGGTAACCGCCCATCAGCCCTTGTGTAATCAACGATGCGAAAATCGATTCAATCTCTTGCATCATGGATATGTCTGCTTCTGTCCGGTCGTCGAGGTCATACGCATATGGATCCAGTTCGTAATCGCCATAATTCTCTTCTGGGTCTCCATCGACCAACTGACCCGGTAGATTGGGCTGTGATCGCCCTTCTTCGGTGTAAAATCCATCCGGGGCCAAAAAATCACCATATCTTTCTAGTATCTCTTGATCGGTAGCGGGGCTGGCCCTTCCATCTGCCCCTTCCAGGCGAGCGTAGTCGAGATCTGTAGGTTCGGAAACGACTTGTGATCCATATAGGTTGGAGGCCGCCATGGCATTGGCCGGGCTATTTCCGGATGATGCGTGCTGGGTTTGTATCCACCGTATAGCCACAACGAGCTTTTTAAGATTGAGAACTGGTGGAGGTCCCTTTTGCGCCTGCGCCTGCGGACCTCCATAGGAACCTCCATACATGAAAACCTTGCGTGCAAAAGATCGCCACACGAGAATCTCGCATCGATTTCGGAGGGTAAACAGAATTCCTTTACGTGCAAACCATTGGGCGGTCGGTGAGCCAAAGAAGAGATGTTGCCGGAAAGCCAGGTAATCTCCTCGGACAATCAATCGACAGAGTGGCTGGAAGTGTGCTGCTAATCCTTGTGCTTCTGGTCGTTGAAGGAGTGCCTGGGATGGAAATCGGCCCAATATAATGTTGCACGGAATGAGGTATGAGAGGATCAAGTGTCGTTGGCTTATCGCCTGGCGGTGACATTGGTCATAGGCGGCCTGCAAAGCGATGCGGGCGGGGAAGAAGAGGTTATTGGCGAAAAGGTAGCGCCCAAGATAGTAGAGGTATGTGACACGCTGTGAGGCTGGGAAGTAGGCCAAGGGGGGTGATTGGGCGCTGATGCTTGCAAACATCTGCTCGGCGTTGCGTAGTTTGCCGCACTGTGTTCCGTCAGTATCAAGCTCCGAAAGAGGGTGAGATAGTCAGGAGATAGGCCTGCGTACCTGGAACAGCAGTTTCAGGCAAAGATTAGCCATGAGATAGATACCGATGCGCTTGCCTTCCGGCTTACCAGTAGGGCCGGGAGTGACGGTGCGATCAGTGAGGCACTTGATGAAGGCTTCGCGCACCACGTTGGCCGATTTTTCCACCAAAGTCACCTTCTCGATGCTCTCATCCTGCGCCGTCAGACCTTCCATTCGTCGAATATGCGCGATCAGGTCCGGTCGACGATCGAGGCCCATTGCCAATTTTGCCAGAATTTTGGACAAGTAGAGAACCGTGGGAAGAACTACCACACCCATTTGACTATCTCCGAGGGCGAGCACACATTGACTGCAGTTGGTGAGAAGGTCGAGTCAGCTTTCAAGCTCGAAGATACGAGTAGAACCCTCGTCGGGGCACCGAGAGAGCATTCAGAATCCTCCAGGGCAGCAAAACTTACTTGAGCAGTGCCTTCAATTGGTTGTATGTTTCCAATAGGTTATCGGTGTTCATATCGCGTAGAAAGATCAGGTAGAGCTTGACGAACGTCGGGAACGCTGTCCATGAGCCACCCTTGGATCGCGGCACGAGAGGCTCGCATCGTTGAAGAAGTTCGGTATCGGTTTTGGAGCCCGGGGCATAGTGCTGGCGTAGTTCACCGACCATGCGCTGGTAAATGTCAGAGAGCGGCGGCTCGAGCTGAAGAAAGTCCTGAACTTTGGCGCCATCGCGCTTCTGGACCAATTCCTGCAAACTGCCCAGAAATTGGTCGAGGACGGGGGTTTGACCCATGTTGAAAGAGCGAAATCCTCGGTTGACTAGTAGAGTCGCACCAGAGGAATTAATTTGATTGAACGATCATTGTGTCATTTAAAGAATCTTAACGGTCAAAGAAACCGGAGGGTTGCAGAGTCAAGAGGCTCATCTGTTGACGGCATTGATGGCAGAACCTGTGACCGCCCTTTGTATACAACCATGTCCATGAGGGGAGTTGATTCACTTTTCGATTATATTCAATTTTGCTAAGCCATTGAGTGATTCAATGGAGATGGAATCAATACTAGATCTATAATAGTAATCCTAATCTATTTTAAATGGGTTGGCACCTACATGTAAACACTTACACTTAACTAACTAGATTGTAACTATTTCTACCAAACTATCTACATGTAGTTACCATTCTTGCATAGTTAAACGAACTCTCTTCCTTAAGAAATATGGTGGAAGTAGTATTTCGAGCTCTTCAATTGATTTCAAAGGCACTGAAAAATAAGCAGAGAGGGGAAAAAACAGTAAAGTTAACCTCCACGCAGTACATGTTAGCCATACTTCGACGATCTATAGTCCTCCATACAATATGCAACATAAAGATGGTTATATCATGTCCACACAGTCCATGGATAATAGGTAGTATTATCATCTACTTTTGGATCGTGACTGATGTGGTTTGCATCTTGAAGAATGACCATCTCAGAAAATAATACTTTTTTGTCATTTAATAGGTAGAGAGGTATTCCACACAGATATGCGCATAGCCCTCGGAGACTGATATCTTGTTTTAATATTGCCCAAGTCCCTTTAAATACCTATAGTCAGACTATTCTGTATTTAATTTGATTCATGTCAAAGTTTAGGTGCCCTAGCCAGTATATTCTATTGTAAATCATACCTTCTTAAAGCTGGTCGAGATTGGTGGAATGGGTAAGATACACCAATTTCACATGAGATTTCCTTAGGTGGAGTACTTTGACGGGGAATAAATCAAGCAAATGCACACACTACTACCATATTATAGTATATCATAGGTTACTAGTCTACCTAGATACGTGCTAGGTACGTGTCTGGATCCTCTTTTTCGCCAAAAAAATCTAGGTTCTATCCCTATGATGTCATTCAATACCATCACATGTAAAAGAAGGCAATAACGTCACAGAGCTGGGAATTGGAAGGGAATTATTTGGAAGTACAAATATATTTTGTTTCTTCTTTTCTTTATCCTTCCCAGTTTTCATTTACGCAAAAAATCATGGGTTCTGAGTCTTTTATCTCGGCGCTCTCGGCCTTCATCCGGCATCCATTCGTGGAGACCTTTACCTGGCTCTACATGGCTCTGCAAGCGGTGTTGGTTTACATATTTTCTCCTATACCCCCACCCCCTGCCGCTCAGAATGCCAATCTTCCTCGAAAGAGAGTTGCAGTCATTGGCGCAGGCCTGACCGGTGTGTCCTCGGCTGCCCACTGTGTTGGCAATGGCTTCGATGTCCAATTGTTTGAATCCAGACCCAAAGAACAAGGATTGGGAGGCATCTGGAGTGTCAGTTCTACTTGCATTTTTAATTAAAATACCTGCTAATACCTTTACAGCGAGTCAATTCCACCTCCGCATTACAAGTCCACAGTGTCATGTACCGTTTCCATCCTTCGGTCCGGTTCGACAGCGCATATCCCACCCAGCAACAGATCAAAGAGCAAATCGTTGATGTCTGGAAGAGATATGATCTGGAAAGACGCACTGTCTTCGAGACTAAAGTCACATCCGTGAAAAAGACCAAGAATGGCCAGTGGATTATCAACAATGACGAAGAGCAGTATGGCCGCTTCGACGGCATCTTGGCCACGGTAGGCGTTTGTGGAGATCCTAAAATGCCACCTCTGCCCAGCCAGGAGAAGTTCAAGGGCCAAATATACCACTCCTCTGAGTTGGATGGCAAAAATGCCAAAGGCAAAAAGGTGCTCATTGTGGGAGGCGGCGCTAGCGCTATTGAGGCCTTGGAGTTCGCCGTCAAGAATGAGGCTGCCGAGATTGACGTTCTTTCTCGGTCCGATAAATGGATTATTCCTCGCAATATACTCGTGCAGTCTCTGCTAGCGTGCAATATCTTCGGTCAGGAAACATCACTCTCGTGGATTCCCGAATGGTTACTGCGCAAGTTTTTCTATCGTGATCTTCAAGACATTGCGCCGACAGACAAGGGAATATTTACCGGAACTCCGATGGCCAACGACGAGTTGTTTAACCAGATCCGCGAGGGCAAAGCCCACTGGTTACGAGGTGACATCGTTTCTGTGGAAGAAAAGGGTGTGATGTTTAACTATCGATCTAAAGATGTCCCCAAGGGAGGACCCGGCAACGAACAACTGGTCGAGGGAGATCTCATCGTCATGGCAACTGGTTTCAAGCGACCTTCATTGAAATTTTTGCCCGATGAGTGTTTCGATGAACCCTACGGGCCGCCTAGTTGGTATCTTCAAGTCTTCCCACCCAAGTACCCGGATATTTGCGCAAACAACAGCACCTACATCGATGCGATTGGTACAGTGGGCAATATGCATATTGGAATCTACACGCGATTCCTGCTCATGTTCTTGACCGACCCATTGACCAGACCTACTGAAGGGTGGATGAAGACCTGGATTGACTTCACCAGGTTCATGAAGCGTCTGGCACCCACAGGAGCATTTGACTTCTTTACCTATGCTGAACTTATCTACTGGTACTTCTTCGTCCTTGTCGTCAACCCGTTCCGTTGGAAGTGGGCGTTGTTTGTGTTCTTTGGTATTGGTCGTGGCTTGCCTCTGGCGTTTGTGGAACAAGAGAACTCGTTCCGCGGTGAGCTGAAGAAACAACGCAAGTCAAAGAAAGCTCACTGAGTTAAGTTGCTATGATACTTGCCCAATGTCATGATGAAGGATGCATGTGCAATGAATAAGAGGGTCGTCATAATTTGAATGGGAATACTTTGCTCGTTAGTTTGGCTTGGAAGACAACTGCCAAAGACACATGTATTGTATGTAATAGTTATGAAAGCAGCCATACCGCTTATATTCAACGCTATCCACCTGAAAATAGAAAATCAATTCCATCATTGCCCTTTAATTTCTGGAATCTTCTTCTCCATATTGTAAGCCAAATTCCCCCCTCGCAAAAAGCGATCGGGAATATAACGCTTGTCTTCTAGCCATAGTATAGGCCATAGCAAAGTCACACCCAGCAGACAGAAAAGGGTTGCAATGAGATGCCAACCAAAAATAATCCAATACCCGATATGCGGCATGATGAACTTGACAAACTCCGATGTTTGATACAGATCTTCTTGCTTAGAAATGTAGTAAATCTTGTGGTCGCCATTGGTAGTAGCATCGCTCTTGACCGAATCGCACGTCAGGTCCAAGACCGTAGTAAGAGTCACCGGAGCGACATGGAAGGGAACAAGCCAAATGGAGAAGATCTGTGACATATTCACATAGAGCTTGAGCTTATGCTCATCAAATGCTAGGGGATGGTTAGAGTCTGCAGTCAAAATTATGCTGTCCACAACCTTGGAAGTATTGTGTTGACATACCAATAGAATGAATCTCTAGCTCAATCCGGGGTGACATGATCTTATACCATTGAAATATCTTTGAAACCCACCATCTGCTACCTTCAAAGTTTGGCACTCGGCAGAATGGATGAACAAAGGATGCATCGTTGGTGAAATATTGCTTGATGACGGTTTCTTGCAAAGACGGCGGCGACTGTGTTAGACGCCGGATAACAGTGGGTATATCGGCCACTATAGGGATGAGCAGGAGATAAATACAGAGGATTAAATTGACAACGTACCTGGGTTTTCCATTTTGATCAAAAGGCTCAAGGGTGTTGTTGGAAAGAAAAGAAACAAAAGATATCAAGACTTGGCCCTGGGGGATATAATGACGTCATGTTCGACTAGTTATCCAGCTCGGGGTTTAACATGTGAATGTCATCTGTAGTGCTTACATAGTCACACCAAGTTGGAAGCTACCCAATTCAGTAAGTCCTTCTTGAATAATTACTTTCTTTCAATCGATACCAGCATGATTTATAGAGATCATATCAAAGATTATATTTCTGTCAGTCCTAGAAGGAGTACGCCAGATGCCGGTCCTTCCAAGGATATCGGCATGCCGAGTCATTATATTCCGGCGGTGAGGCATAGAATATAAACATACACGTACACAGCCCTAGACTGAGTTGATCCGGTGAAATCATATCCTTCAATGTATGTCGTAGAATATAGATACAGATATGCATTGGTCAAGATGGACCTTGGGTAATCAAGAAAACTCCAAAGTGATTGAATTCCAGAAAGAAACGCCTTTGAATATGGAAATTGTCCGCTGCAACCACTTTTTACCGCTTCCAGCTGTCAACCTTCTTTCGTCGCTTGTCGAAGATCTGACCCATGCCCATACCATCACCGCGTTGCCCGTCCTCGTTGCGGACTCGCTTCCGACTCTTCTCGAGGGCGGCTCCGTTGCTTTTGGATCTCCGGGTGAGACGTTCAATGTTATCTGCGCCTTCATTGAGCCCCTTCCATTCATCACCACCGTACGTGGTATCCTTTCCGCGACCCCGTTTGGCCAATTCCTTCTTCGTCTCCTTCGGCAACCGGACAAAGTTGGTCTCTTCGTAGGTGGTACGCTCTGCCTCGCGCTCTCGGTCCTTCTTTGACTTGACCGTTCGGCCACCATCAATGATTGTGCTGCCGATACTGGGCTCAGCCATGGGCGCGGACGACATTTCAGCGCTGACGAATTCGTCGATGACGTTGGATCGAATGGGCCTGCGGTCCTGGCGTTCGCGACGCTCTGTAGTAGGCAGGGAAGTTGGCATAATCCTCGGGGGACGGTAGATGCCATCTCCAGGTCCTTCGACGGCGCCCTTGGAGGGCTGGGCCTTCTTCTGCTCGGTCACTCCCTTAGAGAAGGCAGAGACATTGGGTCGGTACGCCATTTCATCGATATCCTCTTCATTCTCGCTACCGCTC